CTTTAAAGCAATGTTCCATATTTTGTTTCTCCTGGGGAGCATTGGATAAGTGCAATAGGATCAATGTTTGACCTCTTGACCTTCAGCATTACACATTCTCTCCATTCAATTCGGGAGAAGTTCTATGAAGTTGAAAGTATTTGCAGCGTTTTCATTGTACTGAAGCTGCAGTCTGAGCCTCGTCAAACTAAAAAACCCGCCAGGCACGGAATCGTAACGTTCAGAGTGTTAAAAACTACAGTTTTGTATCGCAGTGTAGAACACCGATGTACGCGAGGGTTTATCAGTCGAGAGGGACGAGATGTACGGCCGGGTGGACTTGAGAACCCACAAGCAGAGTGTTGGGTCGACTTGACAACCCACGGCAGAGTGGGCAGGTGGAGACGCAGGCGGTGGGGGCTACGCGCCCACTCTCGTGTCTCCAGCAGCACCCACCGACTCCGTATAGACCGCGGCAGGAGAGGGGCGCCAGTTTGCCGAGCCTCAACGCTTGGAAACGAAAGCCGGGTGGGCGGCGCTGCGCTTTGGGGATTCGTCAGCACGAATATTGAAGCGCGAAGCACGCCGTGCCCGCAGGGTGCACATTTGGCTCGGCTCCGGTTTCGGCACCGCTGTTTGCCGCTGCGCTTGCCTTGCGCGTGGCGCGCCGCTCGTTTGACGAGGCCGTCTGTTTCTGGTCACCTCCCGGCGGCAGATGCTGCTCGACTTTGAGAAGCACGGCTTGGCGAGCTGCTCGACGGATCAGCTGATTATCGTTTGGAAGGAAGGAGAGCGGGCGTCCCTCTACAGGAACTCTCTCGCACGCAACCTGAATCGGCACTATCAGCAGACCTGCAAGTCTGAGACCACATCGTTTGATGACCAGAACATTATCTAGCACGTGAAGAGTGCCCCTCTTTCAATGGTGGTGGTTGGGGCGTCACACAGGAGAGAATGAGTGGATAACAAGCGTGCCCGGTTGGATTAGACCGACCGATCCTCAAGCAGTGTTTACGTATCACGAGAACCGTCCGTTTTCACAAATGTCGTCCATCGCATCGGCAAATTTGGGGCATTCTCCACTAAGCTGTCGGTGCACGTGAGGTCCGAGGTCCTCGCTGCGTATCTCCAGGGAAGATATACAGTTCTAAAAACATCGTGAGGCTGACAATGTCATGGACTGGAGTAATTCCCAGTGCTCGTGGGGCTGATGTCACGTGAGTATGTGGGGAGCTTCCCTGGTGGTCCGCAACGTCACGGACCGGAAAACTTTTTTGCCGTTCACTTCATCTCTCCCTTTCCTCCGTGAACTCGCCGCATGTTGTTGAGAAGCAGCGTGAATCGTACAAAGCTGAAATTCTGTGGTAATTTGGTTGTATTGCTGCTTTCAAACACGAAGTTGTATGCAATGATTACGTTGTGCAGCAGCTACGCCTGCTGTGAGAATTTCGTACACGACGTCCTGATAATGTGGCAGCCACGGCACGTGCTGCCGCCACCCTGTCCGTATCTACGCCGTGGGTGCCGTTCACGTTTTCGAATGTGTTTTTTTTTAAACAATTCTTGCTTTAAATGTGGTGTTTATGTGTCCGTGGCGGTGTTTACCCCCCTCCCACCGCGTGGTTGTCAACGGTTTCCGCCAAGTCTGTTCCACCGTAGTTGCATCTCAGATTTGACAGCGGGGCTTTTAGCGGATCTGCCAGAGAGCCACCACACTTTCTCCAACCAATCAGTTGGTTGGGCTGTGCTCCACACTGGTGAGGAACCCGTGGAGCTGGGGAAACACATGTGCATAAGACACTATTATTATTACTACACCCCAGCCCCTGTATCGTGAGATTGACAGATCTTACTTTGTACCCTTTGAATATTGATGGTGCCTTAGCATGGCTCTGAGACCCATGAACAAGGGAGGCATATTGTTGTTACCCGTGTTTACAGTATTATTGTAACTACCTTGTTCTCCGTGTGCCCACACGTGCATTTTGTGGTGTGATGTTTTTCCACTGCCCCCTTGTTCCATCTGCCCACATCTCTCTCAATATGCTGACTGTCGCTGCTACTTTTTACCAAATGACACCTCGCTGTTTAAGTAATCCCGGATCACTTGACGAGCCAATAGCTTCACCTACGAACATAGTGGACATGTGCAGTCATTGATTTTTTTGGGGTGGGCCATGCAATGATCTTGCTACATTTATGTCGTAAAACCCTCCTCCACCCGACATTGGCAAACATGAATTTGGCCAAGTCATTGTGGCCCAACCCGAAAATCTGTTTTGATTAACAGCAATGGCTGCGAAAACCTACTACCTATTAAATAGTGATGTTTATTTGTATATACATACAAGACCCTGTCTGCCTTAACGTTGGAGAGGTGAATTGGGCTGAGCAAAGAGACACGGCCCTTACCATGCCTGCTGCATGGCTGGCGGGGTCAGAAGAAGCTCCAACAGTCTCTGCTTGTTGACGTGTCCCGTATCAACAATAGGATACCATTTGGATTTGCACGATACGATGGACAACGGTCGGGAATAATAACGGGAGTGGCAGCCAAGGAATGGAACGCGTCTTCAGGGGATGTCCACGGTGGAGATGGTGCGATTTACATCAGAGGGGATTAATACATCACAGGATTGAGAGAGACGGTGGTGGCTTGGAGAGGCCTTTATCGAGCAGTGGATTGAGCGTGGCTGATGATAGCTTTTAAGTACGTCTGAAGACGCAGTACAGAGACGAAGGGGTTGTTTCGATACGAACTGGGGTTTCACCCGCGTGGTGAACGAGACCAAGTCATGTCCTCGTGACTCTTTAGCTCAACGACACCCACGCCCGAGTCGACAGGTTTTAAATTACCCTCGGCCAGAATGTGCATCCATCCCTGTTGGTCTTCGTGGACGTTCGGGGCTTTTTTTCCAGCCGGCATGTGTGTTTGTTTTTTTTTGTTCAACTTTGCCTATAAATCGCCTCCCTTATAGCCAGTGGTTTGCCTGCCATGTGCCAATACGTTTGTGTTCGTTTCCCTTTCAAGAACGTTAACGCAGCATGCATTGATTATTTTGTCGGGCGAATGTTGAGTCGATGTCAAGTTACGATCGTGTATTTACAGAGTGGCCGATTTTACTTTCTCTTAAGTCTTGCAGTTTGGTGATATTTCTTGTGCTCCAGAGTTCGCTTTAAGTCGGACTTTTGAAGCACAGAGAGCTCTTCTTGCCAAACGTTGAATTGGCACTGGATGGATACAGTTTTTGAGGTTGATTTAAATTACATTTTAAGAACCGGTCAATTGAATGTTTTAATATAAAATGTTATGTTTCTTGTTTTAAATGTGCTGAAGCTATTTCCAAATCGATAAACACTGATATGTTAAAGTAGCGATGTTATTATTGTTGTTGAATTTTGCGCTTGCCATTCTGGGAAGCTTGTGTTTCATGGTAGTAATAATGTGTCACCTTTGTGTGGAGCGGTTAATGTGGTGCAATGTTGTTAGGAATGCCGTTGCAGTGTCGATGGAATGTTCTTGTTGAATAAAGTATTTTTTTTTATTAGTGAGCACCGACTTGAAATGTAGATACTGAAAAACTCTGCACGGTCTTTTTTTTCATCAACACACATTGGTCAATCTTGATTTGAAGCTTTCGTGACTGCAGGAATCCATACTCTTTTGTTTTTTCGGCAAAGTCACGTAGGTAGAAAAATAAAACAAAAATAATCTATCACGACGTTTCGATTGCAACACAAGCGGTCGTCCTCGGGCGGCAAAAATAATCCAGCAGTGGAACAGCTGTTCCACGAAAATAATCCTACGTGACTTTACCGAAAGAACCAAAGAGAGTACACATTGGTCAGTTTAACTGGGTAAAAATAAATTAACATTTGAGTCTGTTCATCCACGTACCTCCTGGACCATTGCCCTGCAGCAGCAGTTTAAGCAATCTCTCTGCTGGTTTTGTGTTTCTGAGTATCATCAGCGGTGTGTGGCCTTGTTACGCGAATGCCGATGATTTTGCCTTCAGATGTTTACTTTTACTGTTCTAAGACGGCCATCCGCCACGGAGACGGAGCGATTAAATCAGTTTGCCTGCAGGAGCTGTGCGGATCGTTTACACCGCAGAATCGTGAGAGGTGGAAGCGGGGAGGCCTTCATCCAGCAGTGGATTGACCATGGTCGATGAATAGTGCAATTGTGTTATTCTCTATGCTGCTCAACATCTCGCCCTAGACTCTTGCAAACTCAACTTTCGCTCCACCTTTTGAGTTCTCATTTGGTTAAACAAACTTTTCGTTGGTAGCTTACTCTGCCACAATTGCAACGTTGTGACTTCAACCAACGTTTGTATATTTGTGGACAGTGCATATTATTATCAGAGATGTCTTTTTTGTTTGCATTTTGACTGCTTGTGTTGTGGTTATTGCAAACATGATGCCTTGAATAAAGGTGCCAGTTTTTGTGCCAGTTAAAAGGGTAAAACCTATTCCTATAACGTTTGTATAATTTATGCAGGAAATGAGTTGCACTTGATTTGCGTCTTAAAACGCAAGGAGACGTATAAACAACTTTTATTCATGAAAACTCGGTGGGGACAACAGTATCTGGTCGTGTACACAATCATTGTTAAGTAACTCGTTAAATTTACAAATACGCAATCCCAAAACGTGCCACGTTGAGACTTTTTTTCATGCAGAAGTTGATAGGTCATGACCATACTGCAGCTTTCACAACAAAAAATATATATATCCGTCTTTCTTGATCCTCAAGTAATATGATCAACATGGAGAAAATGACAATAATATTCTGTAGTAGTAATAATAATGTACACGTTTGCCTTTTGAACCGAGATGAGTGTTTTATGCTGATACTAGACTCCTGCACATATTATTGACTTGGGGGTGGGAGGACTTGCATGGCGTGCGCTGGTAGGCCCGTAACCTTATCGAGTCGTGGGGTGGGGGCAGAGCTATTTATACAAGGGGGGTGGGGTGCTGTGGGAGTGCCACATTCCCCGTCCCTTTAAAATCTTCGCACAGCTGCTGAACCGGCCTCTTCGTCCCGAGCAGGCCACGCTCTTCCTCCTCCCCTCGTCTTCCCCCACAAGCCCGGCTCCCCTCCACCCACCACACCCGCCGCCGATTCCACCATCCCGCGGCCGGGCGGCGCACCGCTTGACCCCCACATGTGCACGCAGCGATGATGGCCACGGACGCCGATCATCGGATCTTCACGGATGGAGAGAACTGCAAGCCGTCGTGGCGAGATGCGGGTGCTGATTACGATGAGACAGACACACATCTGGAGATCATGGGAAAACCTGTCATGGAGCGATGGGAAACCCCATACATGCACAAGCTGGCTTCCGTCGCCAGCTCTAAAGGTACATTATCCACGCGACCATCATCTTTAGCCGTGGAATTACGAACAGAGGTCTGTTCGTAATTCGATTTGTTCGTAAGTCCAACTTTATTTTGCTCTTGTCGATTCCAAATACGGTGTACGGCATAGACACCAAACACGGGGAATGGCTTTAAAAGTTGTATAATCTCCTGTAGATGTAGATGCCACTGGTTCTTCATGCTCTGCAGATGTAGATGCCACTGGTTCTTCATGCTCTGCGGATGTAGATGCCACTGGTTCTTCATGCTCTGCAGATGTAGATGCCACTGGTTCTTCACGTTCTGTAGACGTAGATGCCACTGGTTCTTCACGTTCTGTAGATGTAGATGCCACTGGTTCTTCATGCTCTGCAGATGTAGATGCCACTGGTTCTTCATGCTCTGCAGATGTAGATGCCACTGGTTCTTCGCGTTCTGTAAATGTAGATGCCACTGGTTCTTCATGCTCTGCAGATGTAGATGCCACTGGTTCTTCACGTTCTGCAGATGTAGATGCCACTGGTTCTTCACGTTCTATAGATGTAGATGCCACCACCGCCATCTATTGCGCGATGGTTGAACTTACGACTCTCGGTCCGAACAGGCAGCTGGACATACGGGGACAGGTCTGCTCTTATCTCTGAAAGTTCGTAAGTCGAATGTTCGGTAAGTGGAGGAGTCCCTGTAGTCTGATGGAATACATCGTATTCTGATAAGTGCGGAGACAGAGAAGGAGAGCTGTGCGTGTGTGCGATGAGTGTCCCTCTGTCACCGCTGAGTGATGGACACACGTGCCTTGAGTGTGCCTCAATCGTGAAAGCCGTCATGGGGGGGTTTGCGTCTGTGCGCTCGCCAGAGTCCGATGCCCCCTCTCGGCCAACAGTTATGAATAACCGAACTGGTCATGGGACTCTTCTAGGTAGAGTCAGCCTTAAATCACTACCTGGTGGGGAGGTCTATAACAAATATGCACTGGGGAGACAAAGGCGGCCGGTCTAGTGTTCTTACTAACAACACTAGAGCCAACGAAAAACTAAAAGGACACAACGCAAAAAAAAAGATGTTGAGCGCGTTTTTTTATTGTTTGATTTTTAAAAAATGTTACCAAGATATCTTCTTGAGTAAATATATTTATACATAGCAAGGATTGGCGCAGTGTGTTTACAAAGAGGCAGAGTCATGTCAATCTTTTTTTTATCATAAGGTGAGAGAGAAATGAACACCGGAGATGAACTTTTAGAGATTTTTTTTAAATTGCAAAATGAGCAAGAACATACTCCCAATGGTGTTTTTCGCACAACCTCATTCTCAATAGAGACCAGTGCAAGAGAAGACAAGGCGGCATTGTTGCCCTGTGGTTGATCGGAGACATATTTTTTGAAAAAATCTGCTTTAGCGAGTGACAGCGGCTGCAGCAGTAACATGGGAAAGCAGGAACCATCTGTAGAAAGTTAGCACCGAAGGCCTACGAAACAGAAGTGCCCAGGGGCCTACAAGAACCTTAATCGGACCCTGCACAGCACCCCCCACGAATGTTGGGCCGCTCGCCACCTTGCAAGTTTTGTTTTCTGGGACGTGGGAGCGCTGGTGCGATGACCGAGTCCGTGTGAACCGGTGAGCCGTCGCTACAGATGCTGCCAGCCGGCACACTCGATGTCAGTCACAAAGATCACTCCCAAGTTGGTACGCAGTATGTTGTCTCGTCCAGTGGCCCCTAACTCTCGGACTAGAAGTTCAAAAGCAAAAAGTCAACGCGGTCTTCAGCTCAAATGAGCAACGCGACAGTGATGTGCGCGCGTCTCCTGTTCGCAGCCCTGCCGAGAGCCACTGGGAGGAAATTCCACATTCCTATTGCAGGGGGCGGGTCTGTCCATGGGACGACCGCTGTTGAATTATGCAACCAAGTGGTACGTCTCATTTAATCGGCGGGAGGGATGATGGGCCGAGTCAACCCCCATCCGGAATTTGAATTCGCAGTCTTCAGGCTGTGATTCTCTCTCCCTCCTGCCGAGCGTGACCGTGGCGGCTGTCCGGTGATTATTCTGCCGGCAGGCGGACGGGTTCTGGAGATCGGCTTTGGCATGGCTATCGCGGCCACCAAGGTAGAGGAGAACGACATCACGGAGCACTGGATCATCGAGTGCAACGACGGCGTCTTCCAGCGCCTGCAGCAGTGGGCGACGAAGCAGCCGCACAAGGTGAGCGCCCCCCGGCGGCAAAGAGGGGGGGGGGGGGGTCAATGTACAGGGACTCCTCTACTTACGAACGAGTTAGGTTCCAGAGGTCTGTTCGTAAGTCGATTTGTTCGTAAGTCCAACTTTACTCCTGTCGATTCCAAATATGTTGTAGGGCATGCACACTAAACACGGGGGATGGCTTTGAAAGCTGTATAATCTCCTGTAGATGCCACTGGTTCTTCACGTTCTACAAATGTAGATGCCACTGGTTCTTCACTTTCTACAAATGTAGATGCCACCGCCGCCATCTACTGGACGGCGATTGAACCCACGACTCTCGATCCGAACAGGCAATTGGACATACTGACAAGTTTGTTCGCATAAATGAAAGTTCGTAAGTCGAATGTTCGGTAAGTACAGGAGTCCCTGTATGTTGAACTTCTTTCGCACCGTACGTTGGTAGGGGGGGGGCGATAGGGCCAATTGCCCCTCCTTAGTCCTATTCGGCTCTGAGTGCCGAGTTGACAACAGCTGCCTCGCGCAACTCCCCGTGACAGGGGGCGCTCGAGTTCGGCCGGCAGTTTGTGAGAATTTCACTGACCTCGTCTCTTTTCACGGACGCGTCAAGCCAAGTTATTTTTAGTTCACACGTGGCGCCGTTGCATCATTGAGCATAAATTGTTTTTTTTATTCTATACGGTTATAAAAAAAATGAAAAGAAAGTTGTGGAAATCGTCCCTGCCCGCTCTTGACCTGTCGCTTGCGTACCGCAGATCGTGCCACTGAAGGGGCTGTGGGAGGACGTTGTGCCAACGCTGCCGAAAGGACACTTTGATGGTAAGCACAGCTAGCGCGCTTGTTGGCTGTTCGTGCATGGAACACTCTGATAAACAGCCATAATTCTGTCACCAGTCGCTTCACGACGTGATTGGTACTTTACTTGTTTGTGTGTTCTGTCACATTCATGAATCAGAATATGTATTTGAAATGGAGGAATCCGATGAGCTATACATCTCTACTTCGCAGATGTCTAGTAGGGGTGAGTCACAACGTTACAGGAACGAACAATACAAATAACACGATATGAGTTGCCTACGTATAGGAAAGGTAAGCGAATCACAAAAAAATACAAACAAAACTAAACTATTTTATTTGACCAGGTAAAGCCCACTGAGCTCTTCGCTTCTTTTTTTCAGAAGTGACCTGGCCACAAATGACAGCTCAACGAAGTGGATTCTCATATACGTCTTCAAATACTTGTTACTGTATCATCATTCATAAATCTGAGCTGTAGTCTCACTGTTATAGCCCTCCAGCTGCATGCCAGTTTCTGTGCGGATTCCCAAACATGCGGTTAGCAAGAGAAAACCCCCATGGCCAGGCATGGCCTTGAGAAATTAACTTCTGACCCATCTGCAAACTGAAAACCCTGCCAGCTCCGTAACGACTCAACAAGTAACGTTGCTTCCTTGCAGAATTACAATTTGCTGAACACTCTTTTACCTCGAGTACATACCATAGCTACGATGTCAACACAGATTGCTTATCTTTTGTTTAAGTTAAAGATATGCCCTTACTTTGCCCGATAATGTATTAACTTCCTGCATTGATAAAACACAGTTCATATGACCCCGAGCACTGCTGCTATCTACTCACAATCGGTACAAAGTTACATTTTACATTTCAAGAGATCACAGCGGAGATCACAGCCGCCTCCACTTGTGTCCAATAGCATGCGTGCCGCAGCCATCAACCGCATCAGAACATCAGCAAGCCGGCGTACACATCTCATTTATGCAGGGCCGGATTAAGGTTCTTGTAGGCCCCTAGGCACTTCCGTCTCGTGGGCTTTCGGTGATAACTTTCTAGAGTTGGTTACTGCTGCCCCACGTTACTACTAAATCCGCTGTCACTGGCTAAAGCCGATTAAAAAAAGCTGTCTCCGATCAACCAAAGGGCAACAACGCCGCCTTGTCTCCCCTTGCACTGCTTTCTATTGAGAATGAGGTTGTGTGAAACACACCATTTGAAGCTGTTCTTGCAATTTAAAAAAAATCTCGAAAGTTCATTTCCGGTGTTCATTTCTCTCTCGCCTTATGAAAAAAACAAAAGATTGACTCTGCCTCTTTGTATACACACTTATACTTGCTATGTAAATATATTTATTCAAGAAGATGTCTTGGTTACTTTTTTGTTAAAATATTATAAACAAAAAAACATGGTTACATATTTTTTCCTAGGCCCCTTAGTTTCCGTAGGCCCCGGCACAATGCCAACTGTGCCTATAGGATAATACGGCCCTGCCTTTATGAATATAAAAGTAAAGACACGCGCCACAACAGTGGTGATTGTGGCCATGCAACACAAACTATGGACAATATATCATGGGATCTCCTTTGCGAGTAGACCAGAGGATCCCTTTTGGCGTCCTCTGGTCGAACACCGTTTGAGACGAGGCTCAAAAGAAAGCTGTCTCTGGTGTGGACCAATCAGTTTCAAGGACAATGCATATATTATCAGTGTGTTTTTTGTTTGTATTCTGACCACAAGCATTGTGGTTAATGTAGACATGATTCCTTGTAAAAGGTTTCAGTTTGGTGTTTTAACATCTTAACACCTGTTTTGTTGCCAGAAAAAAAGGGAAAAACCGATTATCATATGGACAATATAGTGAACCACTGTAGTCTGTACTCCCTCACTGGAGGACGAACGGCAGACCTTGGCATTTCCTGAACATATTGCTGCCGTATGCTAGAAGAGATAGTGACGGTATAAACGACATGAGCGTTGTGATCCTATAACCAACTGTGCATGTGAGAATGGAATTACAGTACCTTAATGTCCACAAAATCAGACACTCTAGAAAGACGCTCCCCAATAAAATTTGACAAATCTGATCTCACACACACAGTTGCTGGGTTACAAGATGGTGACGTATCAGTGGCTGGCCTTGTGAGTTTATCAGCCTTTGTATTGTTCCAGGGATTCTGTACGACACCTACCCACTCTCCGAGGCGACCTGGCACACGCATCAGTTTGACTTCATTAAGGTAAATGTTTAAAAATGCGACGACTACAAAGAACAAAATAACAGCGGCTTCTGTTAACCTCATGAAGCCTCACTGAGCCTCAGGACTATTTTTTGCCAGGGGGCGTCCTGCATCGGGATGTTTGGTATGTAGCAGGAAATTGTTGAGTGCCCAGAAAAAAAAACTCCACGTAAAGGAGAGGGTAACGTTCATAGCTCCGCACAGATGGACCCATCAATCCGTTGCTGTCATGCCATCTCTCGAGCAGGCCACCTCGCAGCATATGCTTTGTTTTACGAATATATCCATTCGACGCGTAAAACACATGAAGAGACTTGTGCTGGCAGTCGTGTGAAAACACAAACCAACAAAAAAAACCCATACATTAATCATTACCGTTGCCTTTAGAATAGCTACAGTCAGCTAACATTTCAGGCAATGGCCTCTCGTTCGAGCAGAGGTCACAGTGAGGCCATCGCGCGGGAAAGTGTGTGTGTCAGCTACAAAGGGCTTCTACCCCCGCCGCTCTCAAGGCCTTTTCACCACCAAAAAAGTAAACAGGCCACGCCACCTGCCCATGAAACCCAGAAAGTTGAAACCGGTCCAGAATTTGCCCGCTTCAAAAAATGCTGCTGGAAATTTTTCATCGAGAAGGGCCCATCGGCTGATGGGCATAAACGTACGGCCCTGAAATCTTTATCTGCCAGTCGGCTGAATTAGTCAACCCATAACATCTGGGTCTGCCCCATGACATGGCAGCGAGACATCGACGCTTCACCTGAAGGCCTCAGATCGCATTCCTGATTAAAATTAATATCGGCAGCGGCAATCGTGCCAGCAACTTCGTGATTCGAGTTTCGAGTCCACCACCTTATCCGTAGACCAAAACCCCGGACATATTTCCCGGTTAGCCCAGGTCCATTGAAGCGTTGCAGCCTGCCGCGATTAAGTTAATTCAACACAATTCCGTAAGATCTCAGTTACAAATCCTTGCCTGTCTTTGCGTGTTGGCTCTGACGTTACCGGCGGTGTCTCTTTGCTGCGGCAGGGTTACGCCTACGACCTCCTCAAGCCTGGCGGCGTGCTCACCTACTGCAACCTCACGTCGTGGGGCGACCTCATGAAGAACAAGTTCACCGACATTGAGAAGATGTTCCAGGTGGATGGCTGCGACGTGCATCATCCCATGATTTTGATGTCACTTTGTCATTGATATTTTATATTCTTTTCATCGCTTATTTTTGCCATTTCGTACATGGAACATCCTACAGCGCGTGTCCAGATGTCCTGTGACCCCCAATTAATTGACCCCTTGCATTTTTCCCCTTTGCATATTGATTTTTATTTTAAATGAACCTTTAAAAAAACAACACGATTTCGAGAATTAAATTTGGGGTCACGAGACATCTTGACCACCCTGTACATCAGCCAATAGATTTAAATAGTTTTTTTTATCGATGGGGAAATATGCATGATACAGTATACGGCTGTCAAGGATACAATGTGTCGAGGCCTATAACGAAGCCTGAACTAACACGGTTTGTCTGTGGGGTCTGCACAGGAGACACAGGTGCCTCAGCTCGTGGAGGCAAAGTTCAGGAAGGAAGACATCAGCGTGGAGGTCATGGACTTGGTGCCACCCTCAGACTGCAGATACTACTCCTACACCAAGATGATCGCCCCCACCATCATCAAGCACTAGGCGGCACGCACGCACGCACTGGGGAATGGCAGCAAACGCTGTTCTTGTTTATCTTCCAGTTTCACCACTTGCACCACTTCAGTGCTTAATTGGAGGCACGTATTACCAATTGTTTCCACTGGTAAGTCCGAGCTGAGCCAACACGGCGTTCTCATGGCACAGGTCGTTTTTCCACTAGCTATTTGCCAAGCCGAGTCAAAACCAAGCCGCGACAACGCTGCTGGCCTTTCTAGACAACTAAATATGCCAAGAGGAGGAGCGAGGGGGGCAAGCGGGGCCAGGGATCATTAAGCGGGGGCTTCGCGTGTGGTTTCGCTACGCTGTGAGTACGCAGCATTACCACGCCATCTACCGTGCACAGTCCCACTTATAAATAAATTAAACTGGTGGTGTACTACTTTGGTGGTGTACTACTTTGGTAGTGGTGCACATGCGCAGATAATAATAATAACAACTGATATTAATCAGCAACACTGTGGCCCTAAAATAAATGTTCCTTCTTCATCGCACTTAGGCCAGAGAGGAGAGAGAGTGGATACACAAGTTGGACTCTTCGCTTTACATCATTGTGCTAAACTAGTTCACTGTGTATGAAAAAACTACTCGGCCAGGCTGGATTGGTGCGGTTTGGTTGTACGGAAGAGGTATAAAATGCAACTAATCTTGTCAATTATTGTACTGTAATTAGTACAGTAGTTTTTAAAAACTAAATTCAGCACAACACTGCTGTTTTTCAAGGGACTTCTGTATAGATATGCGGGTCATTTTACCACGCGATTCCTCCGGTTTCCTGTTTCAAAATGATGTTTGATGCCTGTGGATGATTAATAAAGAAATCTGTAAAGGTGCAACCCTGCAATTGCTTGCTCATGCCACTTGTGGTGGAAGGGGTCTCCACGAGAGGGGGGGCTCCAGAGAGCTCTCTCTAGAAGGGTGCATTTGAGACAAATCTTCGATGCTGGACAGGCATCTTGGAAGAGGTGTGGAGTATCCACACTTTACCCCACTGCATGTGACCTGGCCGACCGAGGATTGATGAACCCATTTTTACTGTCAGATCAGGGGGTCGGCAACCTCTGAGCTCCAGAGCCGCATGCGGCTTCCTCAAGGACCGCTCCGTGACGTTGTTTATTACGGACCGCCACCTTCACACATTCGCCGCAAGGATTGCGGCTCCTGCAATGTTGATTTTTTTTTGGTTTTACCGAATTTGAAAAAAATGTCTATTCTTGTTATTTTGGCTGCCGACCCCCCTGTGCGAGGTGGACAGAGGCGGGGGGCGGGGAGGGGATGAAGGCAACCTCAGCATTGTTTCAAATGCCATATCAGCAGTGCCGGATTAAGCTAGTGCGGGGCCTGTAGGATATGTTATAAAGGGGTCCAAAATACAAAAAACACGTAAATATTAAAATACACATTTTTTATTTGCATATTAAAATAATATTTTTTCATTTACTATACAGCCACATAATACGGCAAATCGCTAACCTTAAACACCCAGTCGTTTATAAAAGTTGACGACAGTATAGTACTATAGTAATAGAGCAAGTGCAGAATCACTGAAGTCGGAATTGATAGCTTGAAAGCATTTAGCGCGGGGCCCATGAAAGTGCTGATCAGTAGCTACTACACGTGTAGTAGCAGCTACTACTACACGTGTAGTAGCAGCTACTACTACACGTGTAGTAGCAGCTACTACTACACGTGTAGTAGCAGCTACTACTACACGTGTAGCTACTTGTGCTACGAGGATAATCCAGCACTGCGTGCCAGGGATCCAAGCGACGTCCTCTGGATTGGAAGTCCAGAGTGCTTGACCATTTCATCCAACGATGAATGCATGGACACATTCCCTGCACGTGGTTATTCTGTCATTACTCAAGTCCAAGGGGTCGGCGACTTTTCAAGGAAGAAGAAGAGCAGACATTGTTTTTGGTCTTTGACCAAAATAGTTGGAGAGCCGAATCACACGCAGAGAGAGAGCTGCTTGTACACAAACACAGCAGCTGCAGGCATACGGCGGATGACAAACACAGCTGCTGGCTGTTGTCTGAAGCTAGTTGTAATTACTGGCGAAACGTCGTACTCAGATTGTAAATGTTGCGGCTTTGCCCTCCAACACACCGGTGTCGCTGTACTAGTAACGAATTGGCCACGTTCTGTTTACTTGACAAACCTTACTAGTTGGCTGTGTCGGGTGGTGGCGGGTTTAACGACACAACATTTATATATTTACGGCTTACGCGATCTAATCCAAAAACCTCTATTATGGACCTGGAGAAAAATCCACGCGACCACAGGGAGAGAGAGAGAGACGCCACAAACTCCAAATATACAGCAGGCGTCAGCGTAGAGATCAGCCCCACGACCTGGTGCGTACCAGGCGAGGTAGTTAACATCTCCTAGCCACTGGAGCGCCCCATATATAGAGAGTGTGAGGCTTCCCCCGGGACTCGTAAGGAGCCGCACGTGGCTCCTCGAGAAAACTGCAAACAACAACAAAGATCCCCCGTATAGCCTTTACAGACTCTAGGGGCAAGTGCTGTTCGCGAGCACAAACGAAGGCCGGCACAAGCACACGAGGGGGTGGGTGGCCAGCACCACGCCCGACCGCCTTCGTCTCCCCAGCGGCGATGTTTACACGCACGCACACACCGCACCGGTGCCTTTTTTTTCTTTACGCTGAGTCGACCTAGGGGAGGGCCCAGCAACCGGTTCGGATCCAAGCGTGGGTGGCAACTCGCGGGAGCAGCTGCCCCCGCCCCGCTCCGGCCACCCGTGTCAACCCGACTATTGAACCAGGGCGGAGAGGTTGCGGTTGGGAGTGGCTCGCGCACCCGGAAGCGCCGCCCACGTGCTCCGCTCTCCTGCACGAGCGGAAGGCGCCTCGCGTCTCCTGTACTGCCCGTGCAGTACACAGGAGAGAGAGTGAGAGCACCCCAACACACACACACACACAGAGACACTTTGACGTACTTTGCCGCGGCAGGACTACGCTGCTGCTACTGCCGCTGCTGCCGCTACAACTTGCAAGCGGCGGCGGTCGCAGATGGTGAGTTCGTGTCGTGTGTGCTGTGATGGCGGGGGTGCGTGCGTGTGTGTGTGCGTTGTTGTTGTTTCCAGGAGACGCAAACACCCGTCGTGGGTTTAACCTCCAGGCTGGATTGTGTGAGGAGCTCACAAATCCTTGAAAGATCTGGGCAAGGTCCCATCGGTGAGCTCCTCCGGCAGGCAAGGCTGCGATGGCTGGGTCATGTAGCCCGCATGCCCAGCCACCGCATGCCGAAACAACAGCTTTTGTTCGGCCGGCTCGAGGGGGCTAAGCGGGCGCGGCACGGGCTAGAGAAGAGATGGAGTGATGTGGTACAGGAGGACGTGGAGCTGAGTGGACTTGCCGATGACTGGTACCAGCGGTGTCAAGATCGGCCTCTGTGGAGGAGGCTCGTGAAGGACGCTGCTGGGCAGTTGGAGGCAGTCGCCCTCCAACAACAACGGAGGGCGGAGGAGCGACGCTCACAACAACGAGCGGAGCGCCGGGCGTGTAAAATAGAGCGAGTTGGCACAGTATGGGGGCACAGCTTTGTGGATCTGCCAGTCATCTCAGTCAGTCAACCCCATGGCACCCGCAGGGTCTGTCCCGTGGCCTCCTGCCGCCAGCAGTGAGCCTTCGACACTTCACGTGGCAGCCTCAAAGTGCACCTAGCCTGGCACAGGTGCCGTGGCAACGTCGCCGCCACTTCGTGTTGGTTATTGGTTGTTGTTGTTGTTGAGTTCTTCTGCACGTGTTTGTAGAGACGCGGCTGGGTCCAGGACCTTGTGCTCGGCTCACTGCGTTTGAACGTTCGTGTTGTGTTAAACGTTATTGCCAATAAACTGCAACTTGAATCACTACCTATGAGATCTTCACTCAAAACTGCTCTAGAGGAGTTGTACAACCCTAGCTGCCACTGCTATTCAGTGGCCTTAAATATGGCTCTAGATTTTGGTGTTATCATTTATTTATGTAGTTTATTGTTAAAAATTCGGTCACAGTCCCAAATGATCACTGTTACATTGGATTTATGGCTTTTATTTTGGTGATTTCGAAAAGTTTGTTTGGTTTTGGCCATGTTTTTGTTTATTGTAGTACGGAGTTAGACTGATGGCCTAAATCTTAGTTGTCTTGTGGTTGTTGTTGTTTGACTTGCATCCCACTGGGATTTTTGCACACAGCGTTGGTGTACGGTGCTATTTCAGGAATATTTTGATATTTTTTTCCTGGATTTTCTGTTTGCACAGTCACATAATCACTTTAAGATGTTTTCTTGTTCATGTGTTTTTGTTTGTTGCGGTTGCACCCGATTCAAGAGCCGAATGGCTCACAGGGCTATACCAAATAAATGAACTATGAACTATGAACGTTGTGTGTACAGGGTAGTCCCCGACTTACGACGGAGATGCGTTACGCCGACCCCCCCATCGTAAGTCAAAAATATCGTAAGTCGAAGATCGACTTGGCCTACCCAGGAGTCTTAAAGAATGGTGATAATTTAGCAAAACAGACAAATTTACAATACCGTACTGTATATTCTTGGTTCTTTCGGTAAAGTCACGTTGAAGGGAAATGATAAAATAATAAAAAATATATTAAACAATAAAATTCCCACGACGTTTCGACTGCAACACAAGCAGTCATCAGCAGGTGTGAAAACCAACGACAAGAAACATTTGAATTTTATTGTTTTATATATATTTTATTGTTTCCCTTCAACGTGACTTTACCGAAAGAACCAAGAATATGAATCACTGCAGTCACGAAAGCTTTAAATCAAAATGTACAGTACCGTACTGTATAAACTATATAGTGTATGTATTTATTAATTACAATACTGTATTGCACCGTGAAATGTAAAGTAAAAAAGCAAGGTCAATTCTTAGCCTACCTATGTGAATTGCAATTGAATAGAAAGTTTTCTCAGGAAACAATCCTATCTGGTATAAAAAAAAAAACTTTTTAACATGCATTGAACGTAACGTATCGTACCTCGTACGCTGCTGCGTTTGCCTGCCGCACGAAATTTAAATAATTTTACAATTTAGTCGCCATCGTAAGATCGAAATATCGTAAGTCGGAGCATCGTAACTTGGGGACTAAATGTATTGTTGTCGTTGCACGTGTGTGTGTGTTCATGTGTGTGTGCACGTGTGTGTTCACGTGTGTGTGTGTTCACGTGTGTGTGTTCACGTGTGTGTGTTCACGTGTGTGTTCACGTGTGTGTGTGTTCACGTGTGTGTGTGTGTTCACGTGTGTGTGTTCACGTGTGTGTGTTCACGTGTGTGTTCACGCGTGTGTGTTCACGCGTGTGTGTTCACGTGTGTGTGTGTGTGCACGTGTGTGTGTGTTCACGTGTGTGTGTTCACGTGTGTGTTCACGTGTGTGTTCACGTGTGTGTGTTCGTGTGTGTGTGTTCACGTGTGTGTGTGTGTACGTGTGTGTTTGTGTTCGTGTGTGTGTGTTCACGTGTGTGTGTGTGCACGTGTGTGTGTGCACGTGTGTGTGTTCGTGTGTGTGTGCACGTGTGTGTTCGTGTGTTCGTGTGTGTGTTCACGTGTGTGTGTGTTCTCGTGTGTGTGTGTTCTCGTGTGTGTGTGCACGTGTGTGTGTGCACGTGTGTGTGTTCGTGTGTGTGTTCGTGTGTGTGTGTTCACGTGTGTGTGTGCACGTGTGTGTGTTCGTGTGTGTGTTCGTGTGTGTGTTCGTGTGTGTGTGCACGTGTGTGTGTGTGTGCGACAGGGATGTCCTCTGGCTCCCACATTATTTAACATCTATTTTGACCACGTAGTTCGGGAAGCCTTCAATAGCTGTACCGGGGGAATCTCCATATGGTACAGATATAATGGGAGGCTGATCGATGCCCGGGTGCGGTCAAGGGATGGCTCCCTATTGCTCAACCACGTTATGTATGCCGATGATTTGGTGATTGCTGCTCATTCAGAGGAGTTGGAGACGCTGCTGCTGAGACTGGAGCGTGCCACTAAGAGATGGGGTCTTACCATCAGCCCCACCAAAACTAAGCACCTGCCTGGGTATTTTGTACCATCGGACACTCCACCCCCACAACTCCCAATTGGTGATGGGGCAGTTGTGGAGAGAGTGGAGAGTTTCTCATACCTGGGCAGTGTGCTTATGGCCGGCTCCAGTTTAACAGCAGAGGTCTCCGAATCAGTCGAGCGGCAATATATTTTCATCGGTTGCGTAACGCTGTGTGGAAGCTACCTGGTCTGTCGCTCCGCACTAAGCTTCAGGTCTTCTAGGCCACGGTCAAGAAGATTGTTCCTAATGGAACATCTTCGCCGGTTGGAAACATTTAGGCTGGCCTACCTACGATCCATCCTGGGTTTAACCAGACTGGATTGTGTGAGGAGCTCACAAATCCTTGAAATATCTGGGCAAGGTCCCATCGGTGAGCTCCTCCGGCAGGCAAGGCTGCGTTGGCTGGGTCATGTAGCCCACGTGCCCAGCCACCGCATGCCGAAACAGCTTTTGTTCGGCCGGATCGAGGGGGCTAAGCGGGCGCGGCACGGGCTAGAGAAGAGATGGAGTGATGTGGTACAGGAGGACGTGGAGCTGAGTCGACTTGCCGATGACCGGTACCAGCGGTGTCAAGATCGGCCTCTGAGGAGGAGGCTCGTGAAGGATGCTACTGGGCAGTTGGAGGCAGTCGCCCTCCAACAACAACGGAGGGTGGAGGAGCGACGCTCACAACAACGAGCGGAGCGCCGGGTGACTAGGGCACAGCAGGTTGGCACAGTAGGGGGCACAGGTGGTGCATCAGCCAGTCATCTCAGTCAGTCGACCCGTGGCACCTGGGTCTGCCCCGTGACCTGCCAGCGGGCGTTCGACACTTCACGTGGCCTCAAGGTGCACATGGCCTGCCACAAGAGTCGTGGTGACGTCACCGCCACTTAGTGGCGAATGGCGGTTTTTGTTGTGTGTGCACGTGTGTGTGTTCGTGTGTGTGTTCGTGTGTGTTCGTGTGTGTTCGTACGTGTGTGTCCACGTGTGTGTGTTCGTCTGTGTTCGTACGTGTTCGTACGCTCACAAACTCCTGGGATGCGGTGGTGTAGTGGTCAGCGCAACGCTGCGCTACGAACCCGGCGACCCGAGTTCGATTCCTGCCCACGGCCAACACCGGTGACGATTATCTTGACCTGGTGCTGGGCCTCCCCTAGGTCGACTCGGCCTCAAATGAGTACCCGGTGTGGTGTAAACATCGCTACTGGGGAGACAAAGGCGGCCGGGCGTGGTGCTGGCCACCCATCCCCTCCGTGTGCCGTTCCGGCCTGAGTTGGTGCTCGCTAACAGCACTTGCCCCGACAGTCCGTTAAGGCTACACGGGGGATCTTTGTCTTTATACGCTCACAGATCCTTCAACGATCTGGCCCCATCCCAAATTTACTCTTAAACAAATTCGCCAAATCCGGCTTGGTTGCTCTAAACTCCCTCGTACAGCCTCAGAGGTGCCTCATTGTTCCTATGAAAAGTTCCATTTGATGAAGACTCGGTTTGGTCAACGAAAAAGTCTGCGTTTCTGCTTCACGTTTCTAAAATACTTTTGCCACCCATCGACAGCTTGGTTCCCATCACTTGACCTTCTTTATATATCCCCGTTAGACCAAAACAGAGGCGACTTGCACCTTTACCCCACCTATTCTGCCGCCTCTTACTGTCACATTTGCATTTTGACCTGAGCACGTGGCATCTCTCTGGTCAAGACAATGTCACATACAGGTCGGGGGGGGGGACTGCATTGTTGTAATTTATTTTATAATTAATGTAAGTTTTATATATTTTATATCAAAGATATGTAGTGTCATTTAATGAGCATCTATAAAAAACAACAACAATATGTTTACGTACCTGTCAACCCCTTATCAGTGCCGACCTTATTACAGACCAATTCAGACCTTATTGGTTCCCCGTGCCCCTTATAAATCTCAACGTTCATCCTACAAAGTCCCGTCACAAGGGAGAAACACAAACAAATGGACATTGTCTTTGTGCCCGTATTGAATCGGCTATATGCCGTTCGGACCTCAAAACTCAGTGTGCCTGTACACGAATACGGGGTAAACCGTGTGGGTTGACACAGTATGTGTTTACGTTTCACGGGGAGTTTTGTTCTGCGAGCCATCGCGATACCTCTTGGAGACCCACCGGGTAGGTCGCGACCCACAGTTTGCGAACCGCTGCTCCATACCCCACCATGAACGTCATCCCCACATTGCTCATCATCTCCCACCTCGTCATCACTCGTCCTGTTTTAACCTAACTCATTCCGCTGGAGCGGTGACGTACTCTCTCTGTGACATGCTCTGTCGGTGACGTGCTCTATCTGTGACGTGCTCTATCTGTGACGTGCTCTATCAGTGACGTGCTCTATCTGTGACGTGCTCTATCTGTGACGTGCTCTGTCGGTGACGTGCTCTATCTGTGACGTGCTCTATCACGTGCTCTATCAGTGACATGCTCTACCTGTAACGTGCTCTATCTGTGACGTGCTTTATCAGTGACGTGCTCTATCAGTGACGTGCTCTATCTGTGACGTGCTCTATTTGTGACGTGCTCTATCTATGACGTGCTCTGTCGGTGACGTGCTCTATCAGTGACGTGCTCTATCTGTGACGTGCTCTATCAGTGACGTGCTCTATCTGTGACGTGCTCTATCTGTGACGTGCTCTCTCTGTGACGTGCTCTCTCTGTGACGTGCTCTGTCGGTGACGTGCTCTATCTGTGACGTGCTCTATCACGTGCTCTATCAGTGACGTGCTCTATCAGTGACATGCTCTATCTGTGACGTGCTCTATCTGTGACGTGCTCTAACTGTGACGTGCTCTATCTGTGACGTGCTCTATCTGTGACGTGCTCTATCTGTGACGTGCTCTATCTGTGACGTGCTCTATCACGTGCTCTATCAGTGACGTGCTCTACCTGTAACGTGCTCTATCTGTGACGTGCTCTATCAGTGACGTGCTCTATCAGTGACGTGCTCTATCTGTGACGTGCTCTATCAGTGACGTGCTCTATCTGTGACATGCTCTATCTGTGACGTGCTCTATCAGTGACGTGCTCTATCAGTGACGTGCTCTATCAGTGACGTGCTCTATCTGTGACGTGCTCTATCTGTGACGTGCTCTATCACGTGCTCTATCAGTGACGTGCTCTATCAGTGACGTGCTCTATCTGTGACGTGCTCTATCTGTGACGTGCTCTATCTGTGACGTGCTCTATCTGTGACGTGCTCTATCAGTGACGTGCTCTATCTGTGACGTGCTCTATCACGTGCTCTATCAGTGACGTGCTCTAATTGTGACGTGCTCTATCTGTGACGTGTTCTGTCTGTGACGTGCTCTATCAGTGACGTGCTCTATCTGTGACGTGCTCTATCACGTGCTCTATCAGTGACGTGCTCTATCTGTGACGTGCTCTATCTGTGACGTGTTCTGTCTGTGACGTGCTCGCCGCCCGTTGCAGAGGTTCGCATCTGGAAGATCGCTCCCCGTTTGGCGCTGCGTCGGCGAGATGTTAACTACCTCGCCTGGTATGCAGGAGGTCGTGGGTTCAATCCCAACCCCGACGCCTGCTGCTGTATATTTGGAGTTTGCGTGTCTCTCTCCCCGTGGTCGCGTGTATTTTTGTCCGGTTCCTCCAGTTTTTCCCTCCACGTTTAGAATCGTGCGTTTAGTATTTGGCTGCTGCTAAACATTTCCACATGCCGACCGGCCACTTCGTTGAGCTGTCATTTGTGATGGCCAGGTCGCTTCTGAAAAAAGAGCTACGTAGCTCAGTGGGCCTTAGCAATGACTCGCGTCATTGTACGTTTAAAGATCCCGTGACGTCATTGTGAGAAGAAACAAAGCGCCCTCAACTTTCGCGATCTGAGCGTGGCTTTTTTGCTCCAGCGCTGTCCTCCAGACAGTCTCGTCCCTTCACCTGATGAAGGCCGCTTGTGTTGTGGCCGAAACGTCGTGAGAATTTTATTGTGTTATTTTATTTTATCAATTTATTATTTTATTCTCATTCTACGTGACTTTACCGAAAGAACCAAAGAAGATGAATTCTTGCAGTCACGAAAGCTTTAAATACTGCAGACTATGCATGTGAAGCACAGCTTTCATCTTGATGATATCCTCGCGCTATAATGAAACAACCACTCTGAAATGTATCGAATTGTTACGATGATATCTGATTTGGTGCTCGTTATTGCCCCCTTCTAATCGGATGGTCCCACAGCAGGAGGCACGGCGATGACGTGGACTCTCTGGGGGGATGCAGGAGCTCCATCGCCAGTGCGCGGAGAGCCGCCGCTTCCGTAGGGCCTCGCGCCGAGCTCCACGCATGGCGTCCGCCTCCATCCGCACGAGGGGCGCGCCACGCAGGCCGTAGCCAGGCATGGACGCGGCGGGCGACGCCGGGAGGGCGGGACGCCGCGGCGTTCAGAGGGCGGCTCGGCAGCCGCGGAGGAGCCCAGCGGGTGAACAGACGGCTGGACGACGATCGCGGAGTCCGAGCAGATGTCGGCCGAAGAGCAGGAAGGCCGAGGCTGTCGGGGCTGGGAGTAGCAAAGGCGGCGGCGGGCCGAAGGCGTCGGCCCCCGTCGTTGCCACGTGCGCCCCACCGCGGGGTCGAAGAGGGACTCGTCGTGGAGAGACGCGCCCCGGGCGGCGTTCGCGGGGTGCCCTGGCGCGGGAGGTCGCCGCTGCCGGTGAGGCGGCCGCCGGTGGGCTCCGCAACGCCGCCTCGGCGCCCACGGTGGCCGAAGGACAGAGAGGGCGGGCGTGCCTCGGCCTCGAGAGCTCTCGCCGCTCGCCCCCGAGCGACGCTTCCGCGGCTGCGGGGAATGCCGTGCCCAGCGCGCCCTCGGAAGTGTCGGTGGCGCTTCAAGAGGAGGGTTGGGACGCGCTTGGTGGCACGGGTGGGTCGCGCCAGCCGGTATTGAAACGCCGGTTTTGAAACACCGGCTTGTACCACCCACACCGGCTTCTGTGAACTTGGGCTGCTGTCGTATTGACCGCGGGGTTATTTTTTAACTTGACTTCCAGGGCCCATACGATTCACCTAATTAATATATGAAACAATAATTTTAAGAACTCAGGCCTATGACCAAATTACCTGTAGATGTGCCTGATGGTCAGATCTCAGACTCGGTGCTTGGATGAGCGAGCACCATGCATAACGGATGGTTTCGCCAACTATACAACTCTCTTGCTCTCACCAAACCGCACCGCTCATCATCGTGATGAAGTACGGCCAAATAACCCACGGCAGTGCGTCACGGACGCTCCGTGGCGCGAGCCACACCCTCGTCGCTACACACGGTTGTGCGACCGGGAGGGTTTGTGCGACCGGGAGGGTTTGTGCGTATGTTTGTGGGACTTCTTTCGCACCGTACATAAACCAACCGCGCTAATTGGAGGTACGGGGGAAGGACGACAAACAAAAAGTAGTTTGTGATGCACCGGGGGCGCGGGGGGCAATGTTTGGCAGCGCTTAGGAATGGCAATTTCCACGTTCTTTTTGTTTAGAGGCAATTCCAGCGAAGCTACCGTGATTAACCACAAGGATCTCCGCTCGTAAAACAGTCGTGCAAAACAGTCGCATGCAACCGAAACAGCCGGCCAGTGGCCCCCGCTTGAGGCCACGGTCAGACCGTCCCGCTCGGCCCGATGCTACGCTGCTCGATCCGCTGCTGGATCCCATCCGCCTTGCGTTGCTCCTCTGCCCACCCCGAGTGCGGTCTCCGCGCCCGTCATTCTCGCGCTGAACGAGGCCCCTCTCCCACGTGCCGCTTCCCTCCACTGTGCCCCTTTTTGCCCGCTGACAAGAGCCCCCTGCCTCGTAGGGGATTGGGAAGTCACAGCCCTGCATGGTTTTATTCCACTTTTAAAGACAACCGCAACGCCCATTAGCTTTGAATGCCATCCCAATCGCCGTTTAACTATACAGCCTCGTCCACAGGTGTCTTAAATTGCATACTCTGGCAAACCTTTTTTTATTATACACTCTTATTTAACTTGCCCTGCTTTCTGTTTATATTCTTTCACATCTTTGACGCGTGATATCTTCGGATCTACGAAGCCTAATGAGCTGAAGTGTTGTGCGCAGACTCGTCTACTGAGGCAGGAATCTTTTTCTTATTTTTATATTTTTTCCTGCCTCAGTAGCTCTCTCGCTACATTTTTTCACCTGATGGCGATTGCTTGTGCTGCGATCGAAACGTCGTGATATTTTTATTATTATTATTTTTCTATCTACGTGGCTTTACCGAAAGACCCAAAGAATATGAATTCCTGCAGTCACGAGAGCTTTAAGTCAAGATACAACAACATCCGTGTCCGCTCTGTGTAGTTGCTCCACGCTCCTGCTGTTCCTGGTTGCCGATTTGCGCGCTCGCAGACGGAACCGCATCGAGTGCTGGCGTGGAGATCTGTTGCTCTGCGTGTCCAAAGAAATACCACGTGTTTTGTCATTCTACCGGCCTGCCGGGCTTCACGTGAGCCAGCAGCGTTCAAGTCCGGGACGGCTGTCCTTAAAGATGCAGCAAAATACAAATGGCCTTCGGTGTTACTGCCTCAAACCCGAACCTCTGATCAGCACGGTTTGGCTGCGTGCAGTGCGAAAGATGTTCAACATGCATAACCCCTAAATGCTAACCCCTCGCCCAACGCGAGATCCTAACCGGTAACCCTAACCGCTAAACACGAACCTATAATCCTTCTGCCAAGTTTTATTTCTAATACACTCCTCTAACCCATGAATACTAATCGTAACACCTACCCCAAACCCTACACAATACTAAAGCATCAGTTTTATCAAGTGAACACTTAAGTGATGGTTAGGACCGCTAACTAAGGAGCAGAAGGGAGTGGTCAGAGTTAGGGTTAGAGTCTAGGTTCGTTTTGGGATTTTGGGTGAATCGGGATTGTGGGTGAGTGGGGATTGTCGGTGAGTTGGGATTGTGGGTGAGTGGGGATTGTGGGTGAGTGGGGATTGTGGGTGAGTGGGGATTGTGGGGATTGTGGGCGAGTGGGGATTGTGGGTGTTTGGGATTGTGGGTGAGTGGGGATTGTCGCTGAGTTGGGATTGTGGGCGAGTGGGGATTGTGGGTGTTTGGGATTGTGGGTGAGTGGGGATTGTCGGTGAGTTGGGATTGTGGGCGAGTGGGGATTGTGGGTGAGTTGGGATTGTGGGCGAGTGGGGATTGTGGGTGAGTGGGGATTGTGGGTGTTTGGGATTGTGGGTGAGTGGGGATTGTCGCTGAGTTGGGATTGTGGGCGAGTGGGGATTGTGGGTGAGTGGGGATTGTGGGTGTTTGGGATTGTGGGTGAGTGGGGAATGTCGGTGAGTTGGGATTGTGGGCGAGTGGGGATTGTGGGTGAGTTGGGATTGTGGGCGAGTGGGGATTGTGGGCGAGTGGGGATTGTGGGTGTTTGGGATTGTGGGTGAGTGGGGATTGTCGCTGAGTTGGGAATGTGGGTGAGTGGGGATTGTGGGTGAGTTGGGATTGTGGGCGAGTGGGGATTGTGGGTGAGTGGGGATTGTGGGTGTTTGGGATTGTGGGTGAGTGGGGATTGTCGCTGAGTTGGGATTGTGGGCGAGTGGGGATTGTGGGTGAGTGGGGATTGTGGGTGTTTGGGATTGTGGGTGAGTGGGGAATGTCGGTGAGTTGGGATTGTGGGCGAGTGGGGATTGTGGGTGAGTTGGGATTGTGGGCGAGTGGGGATTGTGGGCGAGTGGGGATTGTGGGTGTTTGGGATTGTGGGTGAGTGGGGATTGTCGCTGAGTTGGGATTGTGGGCGAGTGGGGATTGTGGGTGTTTGGGATTGTGGGCGAGTGGGGATTGTGGGTGTTTGGGATTGTGGGTGAGTGGGGATTGTCGGTGAGTTGGGATTGTGGGCGAGTGGGGATTGTGGGTGAGTGGGGATTGTGGGTGAGTGGGGATTGTGGGTGAGTGGGGATTGTGGGTGAGTGGGGAGTGTGGGTGAGTGGGGATTGTGGGTGAGTGGGGATTGTGGGCGAGTGGGGATTGTGGGTGAGTGGGGATTGTGGGCGAGTTGGGATTGTGGGCGAGTGGGGATTGTGGGCGAGTGGGGATTGTGGGTGAGTTGGGATTGTGGGTGAGTTGGGATTGTGGGTTAGTGGGGATTGTGGGTGAGTGGGGATTGTGGGGATTGTCGGCGAGTGGGGATTGTGGGTGAGTGGGGTTGTGGGTGAGTTGGGATTGTGAGCGAGTTGGGATTGTGGGTGAGTGGGGATTGTGGGGATTGTGGGTGAGTTGGGATTGTGGGTGAGTTGGGATTGTGGGTGAGTTGGGATTGTGGGTGAGTTGGGATTGTGGGTGAGTTGGGGCAGGGTCGTGCACGCTGCCTCCCAGCCCTGCACTGGGAGAGCCGAGGAAAGAGGAGGACCGTAGCAGCAGCAGCAGTGAGGAGGAGGAGGAGAAGCCTCTGCCCAGTCTCTACGCCAGCCCAGGTGACTGCGAGTGAATGTATTTCATGACTTATTTATGTATTTTCGGTAATTTGTAAAAAAAAGTGGTGAGATGTGTTAACTATCCTTTCCCTGGTATCGGAAGTTTGTGGGTTAATTTCGTGACTGATGCCTGTATATTTGGAGTTTATATCTCTCTCCCTGTGGTCGTGTGAATTTTTCTCCAGGTCATCCAGTTTTTCCCTCCACATTTAGAATTGACATGCGTTTTAGAGTGTTTGGCTGCTATACATTTCCACATGGTAAGCCACTATGTTGAGCTATCATTACTGGGCAGGTCGCTTCTGAAAAAGAGCTGTATAGCTCGGAACGGAATCTGCTGGGGCATGCGGTGGCTGGGCATGCACGCTCCATGACCCAGTCAACGCAGCCTCATTTTCCCGAGGAGTTCACTGACGGGACTGTGTCCAGATCTTTCAAGAATCTGAACTCCTCGCACAATCCGGTCTGGTTAATGCCAGGGTGGACCCGTAGGCAGCCCGTCCCGAAAGTTTCAACTCGGCGTGGAAGTTCCTGTAAATGGGTCTATGTTTCGCAAGCGTAGAGAAGGGAGGGCATCACTGTGGCTGTGAAGACCCGTAGCTCCGCATGGAGCGATAGGCCAGACAGCTTTTGGAAAGCGTTGCGCAGCCGATGATTCGGTAAATGCTACTCGGTGAATCGAAGTGTCACCTCTGCCGTCACACCGGAGTTGGTCATCACCGGCACTGCACCGCCACCACTCCCTACACCCACACAGTGCATCCTTTCTGTCCTGCACCACAAGCGTTCTCTGTTGAAGTGCTTTAAATGAGACCCCGAAGCTCTTCACGTACAGATGTAGTTTGAGTCACTTTTTACAGCAATAAATGAACGTATTGGCGGTACACTGGTGCGCGTTTATAAAAATCGCATTTTTCGCAATACAGTAGAGCCGCTCTTAACGACGGCGATTGGTTCCAAGAAACCGGTCGTTAAGTGAGTTGGTCGTTAAGTGGTCGCTAAGGGAGTATAGAAAACACGTTTAAACAATCGATATTAATACATTAATATCTACACTACACATTGGGTTCCATGGAGGCCCGTCGTCAAGCAATTAGTCGTTAGCAGGGGTGATCATTAAGAGGAGTTCTTACTGTAATTATTTATTTTCTCGCGATTCGCAACCGCGGTCAGAAAATCTTGCGGTGTGCGTCAAAATCATTTCTTGCGATGTCGAAGCAGTCGGAAGACGAACGGTTATACGAGCAGCTGAACACGAAGCTTCGCAGTCTATCGCCGTAACAGCAGCACCTAGCCCTGATGAAGATTGGCTGGCCCCGTGTACCAAAGGCAACGAGATTTGACTCCTCGTGCCCTAGACTTAGTCGGACGGTTCCTCGATTCAGCGGACCCAAATCGACGGTCAATGTTGACTTTTTTTTAGCAGGCCTCTATCGACTAAATAAACCTTCGAATCGCGTCAGACTCGGCGACAGGGGTCAATTAAAGACTGATAAACAGATTTGCTGATTCAAGTTTTTGATTTTAAACTGTTTTATGAGGACCCGGTGTGTTATGCTGCACCGGTGTACGGCCAATACGTCCAAATGTTAAAGAAATCACTTGAGCGTTGAGCGAGCGAGTGGTGGTCACGTTGTAAAATGCTTCCTCTGTTTGAACCATGCCTAACCACGTTTCGTTTGCAATGGTGGTGTGTGGCAAAAGGATATTTTTGTAGGTTATTAAACCCTGTTACAATTTAAAATATCCGATTTGGTTTATGTACCAATAGCAATGTAAAGAGGATACTTCTTATAATAATAGGGTTTTTCCCCTTTTTTCTGGCAACAAAACTGAAACCTTTTTTACGAGGATTCATGTCTACATTAACCACAATACCTGCAGTCAAAATGCAAACAAAAAACATACTATGATAATATATGCATTGTCCTTGAAACTGATTGGTCCACACCAAGGGACGGCTTTCTTTTGAGCCTCGACCCAATGGGTGCTCGACCAGAGGACGCCAAAAGGCGTACGCCTCTTTCGAGGCTCAAAAGAAAGCCGTCCCTTGGTGTGGACCAATCAGTTTCAAGGACAATGCATATATTATCATAGTATGTTTTTTGTTTGCATTTTGACTGCAGGTATTGTGGTTAATGTAGACATGAATCCTCGTAAAAAAGGTTTCAGTTTTGTTGCCAGAAAAAAGGGGAAAAACCCTATTATTACATTTTGGTACTGGCAAAGGAGGTCTAATGATGTAGGATACTTCTTTTTAATGTTCTTGTTATCGTCTTAAGGTTTCTTCCAGCCGAAGAAGGATGACTTAGTGTGGTGCAAGTATCAGCGATGTCCCTACTTCCCTGCCGTGGTGAGGACACACGCACAGCTGCAGCGCATGGCACAACAACAACAACAACCACGGCAACAACAACCACGGCAACAACAACCACAGCAACAACAACCACAGCAACAACCACAGCAACAACAACCACGGCAACAACAACCACGGCAACAACAACCACGGCAACAACAACAACCACGGCAACAACAACCACGGCAACAACAACCACGGCAACAAGAACAACCACAGCAACCACAACAACCACAGCAACCACAACAACCACAAAAACCACAGCGAGGGTGTTAGCAGAACCCACAGCCCTTACGGTGCAGCGGTCGAGAGCGGAGAGAGAGTTGAGAAAGAGTTGAGAAAAAGCGGGGAGAGAGAGAGTGGGCTGCACGGCCTACCCCGGCTTCTACTAAGCTACGGCTCGTGTTTCTCACTCTGCAAGGGTTAATGACTCACATGTATCGTGGTGCAGTGGTAACGCTCGCGCCTGGCAGCAAGTAGGGCCGCCTGGGTTCGATTCCCGACTCTTTGCAAGCTCTCCCCCTGTTCTGCATGGCTTTTCACCAGGTTCTCCGTTTTATTCCCATAGCTACGAACACATACACAATGTCACCGGTGTTGTCCAAACATTCCAATGCCAACAAAAATACTAGAAAATTACTCATTTGGGATTAGTCGTAGCAACATCGCCGCTGACTGCAAAACATTGGAAGGACCCTCCGGATCGATATTGTTTCTGTTAAGAAATATGAAAGGAATTATTCTAACTGCTAGCGCTGTGCGTTAACGAACGTGTCACCACTCCACCCTGCTTACTTTTCATCATCATCATCATCGGCCAAGGTCAATCCACTGCTGGATGAAGCCTCCGAAAGTCACCGTGACCTCTCATGATCCTGCAATGTAGCGCACCTGCACGCAACCCGATTTCATTGCTCCATCTCCTCCACTCTTTCCCGACCCCGTGGTGGGGGGGGGGGGGGGGGACATCGTCCTTTTGTTTGCCATGGTTGCGTTCCGCCCGAGCCTGATTCTACTCCTCGTGAGCCGTTTTGTGAACGGCTGCGTTGACCAACGCGTGTTCCCCGAACGGTTTTCCCTTGCAGGTAAAACGGGTATCCAAGGATAAGGGCCGCTGGAGGTGCGTGGTGCTGTTCTTCAGCTTGAAGATGCAGTCGAGCGCGGAGAAGCTGAATGCGTAAGAGGTTTACTTCCGCAGGATGACAAGCTCTATGCCCGGGAGTGGTGGCTCGTCTGTATCCATTTCGGTTACGGATGGAGCTAATTTTCTTGAAATTAGTTGCTTGACTGGCAAGTAGGGCAACCATCTGGATCAGAGTGGGTATGAATAACGAGTGAAACGTGCCTCCCGTGTGGAAAAATAAAAGCATTAAGCGACTAGGATTTGCTGGTCACGGTCATTATAACAAGCAATGGAAATTAAGTACAATAAATTATTGTATTGAGCCTGACCGCGTTGGCCAGTAAAAAAACTTCTTTCACACCATACTAACTTCTTTCACACCATACGTAGCCAACCATGCTAATCGGAGGTGCGTAAATGTTGTTTCACATGAATGTTGTTTGACATGAATGTTGTTTCACATGAACTGAAACAACAACAGAATGTAGACTGTATACTGCATTTATTGAGTTCGTAAAGTTTATTTTGTTAAACCATTGTGAGAAGTCAAGAGGCCATGATGAGTCATTTTCAAGAGTGACCTTGGGCATTCGTGTGCCGGTAGGGGGTGATGATTGCTATGTCGAATACAAATTCAGTCCATTGCGGTGTGTAATATTTGTTTCTGGAAAACTTGGACTTTTGACGGCAGGCGAAATGTAAAATGTTGCGTACGACGCCAGGTGAAGTTTAAAATACCGCTGCGAAGCAGATGGCGTGGAGTAGTGGTCGTACAGGGACTCCTCTATTTACAAATGAGTTAGGTTCCAGAGGTCTGTTCGTAAGTCGATTTGTTCGTAAGTCCAACTTTACTCCCGTCGATTCCAAAAAGCGTTGTACGGCGTGTACAATAAACACGGGGAATGGCTGTAAAAGTTGTATAATCTCCTGTAGATGTAGATGCCACTGATTCTTCACGTTCTGCAGATGTAGATGCCCCCACCGCTATCTATTGCGCAGCGGTTGAACTTATGACTCTTGGTCCGAACAGGCAAGTGGACATACGGGGGCAGGTTTGTTCGCATCTCTGAATAATCGTAAGTCGAATGTTCGTAAGTTGATGAGTCCCTGGAGGAGTATTTTCATGGCGATTGTACCGCAGTAATAACCAGGGCGGCCGCCGGATTCGAACAGTGAACCCTCTGCAGCGAGCGCCGGGCACTGGGCCACGTGACGGCCCGCGTTGTCCTCTTTGAGCAGCGGCTGCGAACCTTGTCGAGTGTGCGGGGGGGACCCCCTTTTAAACCTCCAAACATTTCTCAGATCATCACACGCTGCCAGTTCTTTCAAATTTAACATTTCCTTGGTGGGGATGCTGTTCATATTTTTTATTTTCTTTCTGCGGACGCCCTGCAGTAGCCTCGCGGGGCTATCAGGGGTGCGCGGAGCACACGTCGGGAACCGCTCGTCCAAAGGATGCGCATGTCAAACTGTTTTTGTGCAACGTCTTGACACGCAGTTGCGCTTGGACATTATACGCTTCACGCGACACTACTTCGCCGTATCTCGCTCGCCTTCAAGCGGAACCTAACGGTGCTGTTTTTGTCCTTCTGCAGAATCGGGGTCACGGTGAAACACATCAAGCCCTTCAACTGCCGAGAAAAATATGACCTGATTGTAAATGTGCTTTCCTACGCGTCATTTCATCGCAAGCAGAATCGCGGCTTTGCGAGTAATGTGTGCGCGTGTGTGGGGAGCGGTGGTGTAGCGGTTAGCGCGCTGTGCTATGAATCTTGCGACCCGAGTTCGATTCCCGCTCACGGCCAACGTCCAGTGACGGTTATCTGAACCGGCCCTGGGCCTCTCCTAGGTCGACTCGGACTTAAATTAGTACCTGGTACGGTGTATAAAACATCGCCACTGGGGAGACAAAGGCGGCCGGGCGTGTTGCTGGCCACCCACCCCCTCGTGTGCCGTGCCCGCCTTCATAGGTGCTACTCGCTAACAGCACTTGCCCCAAACAGTCTAATCAGGCTTTTAATAACTGCAATAATGAATTGGCTGTATTCTCCGGCTTATCAGTGTTAGTAATTGCATGGCCTTCCATGAAGGGTTGCTATTTTGTTTCGCTGACATCGCGCAGTGAGGTGTGGTCAGGAGGTGGCAGCGTCACCCCCCTCCCAAATCGCGTTGCCGTGTGGAGGGTTTCCTCCGGGCATTCCGGAGGTTTCCGACACCAAGGGGCTCCTGAGCCCGCCTGCGGCTCTTTTAAGGACTGCTTCAGGTTGCGAATATGGGTGAGGTTGCCACCGTTATGCTGAGCATGGGATGTCCCGTTATTCGTATGCCGATGTTACTCGGTCGTGACGTTATTCGCATCCGCTGTGGTGAGATGTTAACTACCTCGGCTGGTGTACAGGAGGTCGTGGGGTTCGATCCCGACCCTATAACTATTCTGATGTTGACCTACACGATACGAAACACTCGTCAATAGATTCGGCCAAACATCTCGGTGCAGAAACCGAGGCCTAGCGAGGCTCACCTGGGTAAATGACTGGGCACTGTTGTGCGTGTGCATGCGTGCGATTTATATTTGTGTTCGTTCGCTCTCTTTTTCTCTACAGGCAGAGGCAAAGAAGTCCTACCCGAGGGAGATGGATCTCTACCTGGAGCTCATAACGGACTACTGGAGCAAGACAGGTGAGGGTGCGGACCGTGTGCTACGTTACGCTCGACCAACACTCGCGCGTTTCTCACGCTACTCAAGAATCGAACTTCTCTGAAAGGCCGGATGAATTCGGTTTTTTGTTGTTGTTAATCCATCCATGTTGTTCCGCAGCAGTTTCTGATTAACCATGTTTTAGCTCGGCGGGCCCGCCTGCCGTTAGTGGTCGACTGAGCCTGGCGTGGTGTTAAACAGGGAAATAGTGGTGGACTCAGCCTGGCGTGGCCGAGTGTTAGACAGGGAAATAGTGGTGGACTCACCCTGGCGTGGTGGAGTGTTAGACAGGGAAATAGTGGTGGACTCAGCCTGGCGTGGCTGAGTGTTAAACAGGGAAATAGTGGTGGACTGAGCCTGGCGTGGTGGAGTGTTAAACAGGGAAATAGTGGTGGACTCAGCCTGGCGTGGTGGAGTGTTAAACAGGGAAATAGTGGTGGACTCAGCCTGGCGTGGTGGAGTGTTACACAGGGAAATAGTGGTGGACGCAGCCTGGCGTGGTGGAGTGTTAGACAGGGAAATAGTGGTGGACTCAGCCTGGCGTGGACGAGTGTTAAACAGGGAAATCGTGGTGGCTGCACAGGGCGCACGAAGCAAGGATGGCAAGTCCAGGAGGAGGGGCCCACTGGTCGCTGCAGGGGCCACGTGGACCCGTGACAGAGAATCCGAACCTTTATTTCTACTGGAGGAGTAATCCGATGAGATATCAAGGTTTTTTCCACCCACAGATGTCCAGTAGGGGCACGGGGTTAGAAAGGTACAACAACAAACAATAAGAAACACAAATAGGAGTGCATTAATTATATCGGTTTATAGACCACCAGGTTGTCCCCCATTATTTTTTAAACTAATTTGCCATGCTCCTTTCTCATTTGGTGATAGAGGCTGACAATCTACTCACCCTGGGAGATGTCAGCGTTCATGTCGACCATCATGAATTGCCCACAAGTCAACGTCACTTCGTTAATTGAAAGTCTGGGCTTTGCAACGTGCCCACTCGTACTGGCGGACACACCCTTGATGTTATCTCAACCCCGTGGGTCATGTGACAGAAAGTATATGAAGTGCACAGCATTCTCCACGACCATTATCTGGTATCAACTCAGTGGATAGTTCCGAGAAGCATGTCCCCAGTGAAGGCCAAAGTAATCTCATTTCGCCCCCTTAGCGGAAACCGAGTTGATCGTTCTCGCATCCACCTTCGGGGTGTGGTCAGTGTTTCCTGAGGATGTGCCCTGAAGATGGTTGACCCCTACTATTCCATTCTGGTTGGGATTATGGATGAGGTTGCCATCATCATGAGCATGGGCTGCATTTTGTTGTCCTTCCCCCGCACCTCCGATTACCACGGTTGGCTACGTACGGCGAAGTTCAACATACACATATGTAGACACGTCTTATCGCTCGTGTGCCGATGATATTCGGTTGTGCATTAACAAGGGGGTCGGTGACCATGTTGGCTCTTTAACATCGTGCCTGAGTGATGTAAAAAACATTGGATGAGCTGTCATTTTCTTCAGCTCCGTGCTAAACGGTCGGAGATTCTTCTTCTTGTCGGCACTGAGAAGCAGTTGGCAAAGCTCGACGCATTTGACCTTAACTCACGTGGCCACCTAACCACTGGCATATAAACGCGCAATGATAAGATTGTTTTCTCTCTGATATTTCACCGGAGTGTGTCTGCGTTCAGTTTCAGGCTCTGGCATGGGGAAAACCTTCATTGAATACTGCAAGTCTGAGCAGAGTAAGTAGCGTTTGGCAAGTATTGGATGTAACACAGCTATCACGAACCATTCAAAGGCATCGAGGGAACGGTACAGTTGAGTTGATCAACAAGGGTGACAGGAGAAGTCGCCACATCACTGACATTCTGTGTTGGAATCCGGGCTTCGGTCGCCCTATGTAAAACCAGGTTCTCAAGTGAAGCGAGATGTGTAGGCCTTAGCCCACTCCACCAGTGAGCGTACAAAAAAACACGACTGGGAGTGTGTAGGAAATAACGGAATGGCCGTTAAAGACAAGGTTCATGGTAAAGCGAGCTTGCCATGCCTTCTTCATTTTAAAGTCCCCCTGTGTTACTTATCAAGTAAACAACGGTCCCCTACCATAGGACTGTGGCATTTCAACCACTGGCTCATGGCAGTAAATGGATAATTGCACTGCCTTGCGTTTGTTTCAGGGGTAAGCACGCTGATTTCGCACATTTGGCAAAACATTTCTGTGCCACGCTTACGACTCCCCGATGTTATTTCGGGTCGTGTCCGTGCGCGTTGTTCGGCGTGATCTGCAAGCTTTCGCTTCGCATGTGCGCCGAGAGCTTCTTCGGGAAAGGTTCAGTTCTAGGAAGGGGTCGACTTCAGTTCCCCGAACATTTAGGAACAATTAAGTCCCTGCAGACGATGCCCAGCAAGTGTAGCCGGATGTTGGATAACAATGCCGAACGACGGACAGCGGTACAGCCCGAAAAACGCACCGGCGAGGCGGGCAGCACAACCGCGAAAAGCTGCGCCCGAGTGGCTAACGGCTACGGTCGCACGGCTGTGCAGGTGCCCCCGTTTGGCACGGGATCTCCTCCTCGCCGGCGGAACCCTTCCGCGACGTCCCGGAGGCCGAGACGGCGGCGGAAGACGACGAACGGCGCCCGGACGGCGACGGACGTCGCGGTGCCGAAAGCCCGAGCGCGGCGAGCGTCGAGAAGCGCCTCCTCCCGGACCGCCAGAAGATCCTGCGGCGGCGCTGCAACGAGCGCCTCCTGCACGCGATCGTGCGGAGGGGCGTGGCGGAGCGCCACCTGCGCCGGCTCCTCCGCGGCGCCGTGCCCTCGCCGCGGCTGCTCGAGTTCCGGCGGCGGCGGCGGTGGCCGAGCGAGTGGCACGCGGCGCTGTACCTGGAGGACGACGCGCACGTCGAGCGTCTGACGCTGTACCTGCGCGAGTTGTACGAGCGCGCGCGAGCGGAGTGCGCCGCCGAGGGTCGCGCCGCCGCCGCCGCCTTCCACGAGGTGGACGCCTTTGACCTCTCGCAGTTCATCCTCGACGTCCTCCTGCCCGAGGTAGCCGCGTGACCTTCTCTGGCAACCTCCGATGTTGGCGCGGTCGGCTACGTGCGAGCGCGTCAACGTGCGAGCGCGTCAACGTGCAACGTCGCTCGCCGCCGGTGTTGAACTTGGGTCGCCCGGTTCGATGCGCTGTGCCGACCACTACACCACCCTTGCACCAACCAACCTGTGCTGGCCAGCGTGGTGTAGTACGAGAGTCGAAGGAATCCCACGATCGACGCAACTCGGGGAGGCTTTGGTCCAACAGTGGATGGACAGAGCTGCAAGTGTCATTGGGTGCCACGGTGGCAAGATGTTAACTACCTCGCCTGGTATGCAGGAGGTCGTGGGTTCGATCCCGACCCTGACGCCTGCTGCTGTAGATTTGGAGTTTGCGTGTCTCTCTCACCATGGTCACGTGGATTTTTCTCACGCGTTTAGAATATTTGGCTGCCATAAATTTCCACATGATAAGGCCACTTCGTTGAGCTATCATTTGTGGCCAGGTCGCTTCTAATTCAGTGGGCCTTACCTGGTAAAATACAAAGTAGTTCAGGAGTTTAGTTTAGTCATAAGCGGTTTCTGAGTTAGATCGTGTAAATATAAATGTGTCGTCAAACCCGCCACCACCTGACACAGCCAATTAGTGAGCTTTGTCACGTAAACAAGCATGCCAATTTGTTACTAGTACAGCAACACCGGTGTGTTGGAGAAAAACGCTACGTAGCTTTGTGGACCTTAACTGGTAAAGTAATAAAATGTTTCAATAGTTTTAATTCTGGTGCACGTGCCTCCAATGGTGAACCGAGACGACTGTGCCGTGATCTGTGTGTAATGAAGTCCGTAACAATTCCCTGTGCCGAGACCGCCTCTGGGACTTTGCTGCTTGGAGTGGGATGCTTCGAGTGCACCCTCAATCCTGTGGGCGTCATTCAAGGGTCAGATGCCCCGGCATGTTTCTCTAAACGAAGCCCTGTTATTTTCTATGAAATAACCAAGCAGAGAGAATTCCCCTCCTTCATACCTGTCCCTACACAGGAATAAAAGTGGCTTTTTTTGTTTGTTACAAACCCCATCTGCCAACACGGCCTTCGTGAAGTGCGTCGTTTCTGCAGCATTGGTGCAACGAGCGAACTGCACCAGTTTCTCCCAGAAAGCTCGTGGGGCTGATGGCGATGTAACCTACGTTGGGTTTTTATGCTTACCAAAAAAAAAACTATACAGAAGATTAAAAAAAACACCACTGAAACTGCCGAATATTGCAAGCTGCTTCAGGAAGGCACAAACCAGCGCCACAGTGGTTGCTGCCGAGTATGGAAATAATCTGGAAGTGTGCGGTGCGCAGCGTGGAGACGCGCCTCGCAACAAGGCTTTGATTATGTTTTGGGGGCCCCTCCTTAAACGCGCAATATAACCACACGAGCGATGTGACAGGCCACGGTTCGCGCGTGCCGTGTTTGCGATCCGCGCGTGCCGTGTTTGCGATCCGCAGGCGATCACGTACGCGTTGATGGCGACGGAGGACATCACTTGGGAACAGGCTCGGATCAAGTTTCTGAACGGGCCGAAGTGCAGTCGAAGGTGATGCTCATTTTTATCGCGGAACCTCCTTCCCTTTGCCGAGCATTTCGCACCGATGAGCTTACGCGTGTTAATAACGGTGACATTTCTAACGCGCCACATTTTGCAGAGTGGAGCCAGGCCCAGGGCTGCTCGAAAGCCCTGGCCAAAACAGACAGAGGCCTGAAGATGTTGCTTGAACGTCGGGGTGCATTTGGTGTTGCGGATGTGCCAAGGGATTAGAGAGTTCCACACGGAGGGGGCGACAGCAGAGAACCGACGTGAGCCTGTGATAGTGTGGTGTACAGTGGTGTAGTGTATCGTGTATAGTAGTGTGGTGTATAGTAGTGTGGTGTTCTGTAGTGTATAGTAGTGTGGTGTTCTGTAGTGTATCGTAGTGAAGTGTATAGTAGTGTCGTGTATAGTAGTGTAGTGTATCGTGTATAGTAGTGTGGTGTATAGTAGTGTGGTGTTCTGTAGTGTATCGTAGTGTGGTGTTTTGTAGTATATCGTAGTGAAGTGTATAGTAGTGTGGTGTACAGTCGTGTAGTGTATAGTAGTGTGGTGTTCTGTAGTGTATCGTAGTGAAGTGTATCGTAGTGTGGTGTTTTGTAGTGTATCGTAGTGAAGTGTATCGTAGTGAAGTGTTTTGTAGTGTATCGTAGTGTCGTGTATAGTAGTGTGGTGTACAGTAGTGTGGTGTACAGTCGTGTAGTGTATAGTAGTGCGGTGTTTTGCAGTGTATCGTAGTGTGGTGTTTTGTAGTGTATCGTAGTGAAGTGTATCGTAGTGTGGTGTTTTGTAGTGTATCGTAGTGTGGTGTTCTGTAGTGTATCGTAGTGTAGTGTATAGTAGTGTGGTGTTTTGTAGTGTATCGTGTCGTGTATAGTAGTGTGGTGTTTTGTAGTGTAGTGTATAGTGTAGTGTGGTGTTTTGTAGTGTATCGTAGTGAAGTGTATAGTAGTGTGGTGTTTTGTATTGTAGAGTAGTGTAGTGAATTGTAGTGTCGTGTATAGTGTAGTGTATCGTAGTGTGGTGTTTTGTAGTGTATCGTATTGAAGTGTATAGTAGTGTGGTGTTTTGTAGTGTATAGTAGTGTGGTATTTTGTATTGTATTGTAGAGTATAGTAACGTGAGCCTGTAACAGTTCGAGACCTCGGTGTCCGAAGCAGCTTTTGAGCGATGCTGCTGCTGCCGTAGGGTTCTACCGTGAGAATCAGCGTTTGGAGTATTTGGCTGCCATAAATGTCCACGTAAGCCACTTCGTTGAGCTATCATTTGTGATGGCCAGGTCGCTTCTGAAAAAGAGCTATACAGCTCAATGGGACTTACCTGGTAAAATAAAAAAGTAGTTTAGTCATAAGAGGTTTTTGGGTGAGATCGTGTAACTATATAAATGTGTCGTTAAACCCGCCACCACCCGACACAGCCAGTTAGTAAGGTTTTTCACGTAAGCAAAATATGCCAATTTGTTATTAGTACAGCACACCGGTGTGTAGAAGAGTAAACACCACAACATCTACAATTTGAGTACGACGTTTCGCCAGTAATTACAACCAGCATCATCAGGCGACAGCCAGATTTGTGTGCTAAACTGAGTTTTAGGTTGAATGCAGAGGGGAATGGAGAACAATGGCATTAGTTGCAGTGCCTTCGACTGCCTACAATGCCCCGCGTTACACCTGTTTAGTGTGCATGGTGGTCATCCATTCCAGCACTGTCCAGGCTGAACCCCTGCTAAGCGATTTTGCAGGCGGCATATTCTAGGCGATTTGGCCATAGACCAAATAATGCAAGTCCAGGCGGTCCCCGGTTCTACGACACTGTGTTCCTGGAAAAACCCCATCGAAAAATGGGACCCGATTTTCCCCATGCAGAGTAGAAGCAGCAGAAATGTCACTCGCCATATTTAAGTGGGGGTTTTAAGAGGTAAACAAAAAAATCGAAATCATCCACAAACACTTGAGAATAACAAAAAGCTCCAGGCGACGTCGCATCGGAAACCAGACCGACTGTTCAAATGAATTCGGAGTCGTGACGGCAGATGTGTTGTTTCTGCGTCGCAAAACGATCTATGGTGGCATTGCAAAAGTCGATCTTCGTAAATCGGACCGCCTGTATTGATGTGCACATATTTCAAGGCCAGTTGTGACCACGTGCGTTTCGGTATGGCCATTCGACACCCTTGTTTATATGTATATACACCCAACGGCTGTATTTCTGTCCGTGTTTGTTTCTATATGACTCTCGGGTGGAGAGTTTGTTTTTCATATTGGTCACAGTCACTGTCGTCTCATTTGCAGGGAGATTGAGCTGTTTAACAAGGAGTTTATGAAAGGAAAAGACAACTGATCCTGAAGATGTACGCTGGGTGGAATGGACCTGGCACAAGACTATCCTTTTTTTAATCAAATGGATAGCCAAGTGCCCGCTGCTGTATCCTGTGACAGCCACACTTTTACTATATGTGTACTCGGGATGAGCTTTAAATTCGAACGTCATATTTTAGGATTTTCAAGGATAATTTTAGATCTGCTATTAAGGTTATGAATTGAATTCCGTTTCACACTAATGTAAAATGTCTCCACGGTAAGAATGACGACGTCACCCTCCCGTCTTGTGACAACACTTTGTATCGTGAAAAGCGCGTTTGGGTTTTGGCACGATTTTGGATTAAGCCGTTGGCATTGTCGCACCGTACCAGCACGGACCTCCTCTCCTCCCCTAGGGGGTACTGGAAGTGCCGAAGGGCCCAAGCGGACTGCTGCCCTGAGCCAGCTCCTTCCAGTTCGGCCAGAATCCCCTGTCCCCCAACCCCAGGTAGCTCGCATCGATCACTAGGATCGCCCCTGGAGGGGGGGGGGGAGATCCCCCCATGAGATGGGACTGCGCCATCCGCCAGCCCCCGAAGCGGTGATTTGGAGCTGAGGACACTTCGAATGGCTCGCACCTTCGGCAGCCGTGGAAATCTCCCCCTGGGGAGCCGCCGCTGCAAAGTCTCGATCCTCCAGAACAACGGGGGAGCGTAGAGGAGTGACAAGTCGGGGTGTCTGGTCGAGGATGGTGACCTTAAAGGGCCACATGGGGGACCCTTCCTCCCAGACTTCCACGGAAGGAATGAGCCCGAGTGCTTGCTATTCGGTGATACCGCTTTGCCAGTGGTGCACAAAAAAATTACAAATACCTAAACGTCACTTGTCACCTATTTTTTTTTTAAATGCTCAGGCAATGGGACCTTCATTACCTACTATAATCACCCAGAAATGTCTGTCCGTCCCACGTGTGACATCACTCCACATGAGGCCCACCCCCCCTCATTAATATTCATGAGTGTGGATTTTTACACGAACGCAGGTCGGGCTAAATTAAATAATTTATTACGCAAAGTCGCTTCAAATATGACGTCTCTTTACGGAAAGCGACGGTAAAAAATAAATCTATGCAGCACAGTGCTACATCCGTGCGTGACGTCACTGCAAAAGAGCCCACCCCCTATCAATATTCATGCCCACGTGGAAATGTACACTCATGCACAAGGTCGCGCATTCCACATGCCGCACCCCTCCCCTCATTAATAATCATGAGCGGGTGACGTCACTCCACATGCCGCACCCCTTCACAATCACCATGAGGGGGTGACGTCATTCCACATGCGGCACCCCTCCCCAATAACCATTAATAATCATGAGCTGAACAATTTTTCTATTGAATATTTCAGATCTACTGCAATATCCACCTGCCGTCCTTGGAGGGGTAATACAATCTCGTTACCCCAGATTTAGCATAGAGACCAGCGAGATGTATTGAGTGATTATACGCAATAATTACACGAGGTGTGTATGTACTAAGGGGTATACGGTTTTGTATATGTTTTTATACATGCATTATTAACATTGCACAGTTTTTATAACTTGCTGAACTAACCGTTGGCATGTGGAATTATGAGTACCAAAAATTACACCACGGATCCAAACGGACGTAACGCCATCTCTGCGTACAATGTTTTTTAAATTCTCTAATGCATATTTTTAAAATGTTTGTTACGCTAAAACATGTAATTCAGACGTAACAAATCTTCCATTTGAGATGTTGCGCACATAGTGCTGTACTGTCCACACGTAACAAAAAAAAATAATGGTTTGTCGGTAAAGGTTGAAAACGTCAAGTGATCAGCAATAAACTGTAACTTTTGAATACTCGAAATAAGTGAGTGAACACGTTTCTTGAATGGAGCAGGGGTTATCGTTGTAGGAGCGTGGGAAAATGGATGATGATGATGATGGAATTTTAAAGAGGAGCAGTGTGAGTAATGTTCCTCAAGCAGCACTCTGCCTGTCAGCTGGGTTCAAATAAAATGTGAATAATTTATAATGCCCGTGTGTTCCGGATGAGATTGTTGTGCCACAAGAAGATTAACGGTTACTATGTCATGGGTGGTAATTACTCGTACAAGATTGGAATATATGGATTTTTATAGCCCGTTTTGCCATAATTTACATCAAATGTTATTCCTTCAGCACTGTAATATAGTGATAAACAATTTTTAAAATTTTTTTTACGAGGAAAGGCCCACTGAGCTACGTAGCTCTTTTTCAGAAGCGAGCTGGCCACAAGTGATAGCTCAACGAAGTGGCTCATCACGTGGACATTTATAGCGGCCAAATACTCTTAAACGCACGATTTTAAATGTGGAGGGAAAAACCGGAGGACCTGGAGAAAAAAATCCATGCGACCACGGGGAGAACATGCAAACACAAAATATATAGGCGTCGGTATCGAACCCACAAACTCCTGCATACCAGGCGAGGGAGTTAATATCTGCTGGTGGAAGTTCCTTCACTCGAGGCAGCTCGACACAGCCCCTCCGGTCACAGCATTTGGCTGTGACCGGAGGGGCTGGCGATGAACCCATTTGTAACTGTTAAGGGTGTCCAAAGGCGTGGAATAAAGAAAGCTGCCCATTGTCCCAAGTACCGCGGCGAGAGATGGAATCAAACTGGCAAAACCAGCTTTGTAGGTGCTGTGTGCTAAACATCACGCCACAGCAGCATCCGGCCTGCATTAGATGTTTAGTCAAATACCTGTCAAGTCTCTTTTTTTTTTCCAATGCCAAGAAGGAAATTTGAGAGCCTGCTGCAGAGAATCCATCGACGAGTGAAAAACAACCTTGTGCAATGATAGCTTGACGCCCGGACTGGCCATAGGGCAGCAGTCCGGGCAAATGTCCGGTGGGCCGGTCCATTCTGAGGGCCGGCGGGCTGGTCTGTGTGGGGAAATTGTAAATGTGATCAGAGTAAAAAAAAAACAAGATCACGTCTAATGTGCACGCTTAATTGCTTATTTACGCTCCCAGCTGGCATTAAGCCCCCACACATTCGGCAGCCCCAAACATTCGTCCTCACCGGCCCCAATTGTTTTTTGGACCCAGCCCCAAATGGGCCAATGAGGATCGCACGGCAAAAAAATACCGCTAATAACATCGTCACATCGCAACATCTAGCTACTAGTAGTTTACTACAACACAGTCTGTCGTACAGGACATTTAAAAAAAACATTGTATCGCCCGTAGCCCGAAATTGGGCCGGTGTGTTTACAAATGCCCGGGCCGATTTTTCGTCCCTGTCACTGGCTAGGTGAGCGACCTACTTTCTGCGCTGTTCCTTACGGGGCACCTGTTTCAGAACGCAACACCAACGCCCGCCGTTACGGCACCTGAGCGCGGCTCTGCGCCACCGTGCTGGCCCGGTAGCGAGTTGGGCCGTGCCACGAGTCGCCGTGTGTGCGTGTTGATGCACGTTGCATATAAAGAGACTCCCACTCAACGCTGCGAAAGGGGTAAAGCATTTTTATAAATCATTAAAAAATAACACCGTTCTGACAAATTGTGGTTAAAAAATAATAACCCATAAGGATCATCACCACTACACTTAATAAAGCAGGAGAGGTACTGGCACTCGCAACAACACAGTGCATCGTGCGGTGAACCGAGAAATAATTAGTGCAAATTACCGAGTTACATTTATAAGTTGCACACAACGTAGACAGAATAAGTTAAACTATTCCAATACAAATTTACCAATGCGATCCAAAGTTGTACTAGGCGTGGAGGATGTCTCCACGTTGGTCCACACAGGGACATGCGCTTCGCGCACGCCTGCAATACTGTGCAATGTTGGCACTCCGTAACAAGCGTCAGTTAGCCCCATATATAACAGCACCACATTGCAAGTAACTTCATGAAATAATGGGCCAAACTATTGATGCTCAACCTCTCCCACTGATGGCGTCGACGGTTCAAAATGACACCCCGGGGGCCGCAGTAATACCAATGCGTAGTTTTGACTGTTTTACGCAAATCTTAAAAAATCTATTTCGGGACGGCCAACGTTATGGGAGCTTTGGTGGCCCTGTTGCTTTCAAGAGGATCTGCGAGTTGGCTGGAAATTGGCACGCACACGGACATTCCAAAGACCTGCAGATTTCTCGTACCACAACCACCACCACCTACAGGCACGTTGCTAACCTGCAGCCGAAATGTGAACGGCGTCAATTCATCCGGTTTCCCAACGTGAACTCCTGCTCGTGTCATGAGTCGCACTTGTACAATTTCACAACATTCCAGATGAACATTTACAATCGGTGATTTTTACTGTAGTGACAATTTGCTTTTAATTTTCGTATGTACACACTGCCTGGTATCACAGGCAAAAGCCCTCCGTATATATTTTCTCTGTTGCACAACGAAGCCATAATCATGCTGCGAATTCGTCCCTTTGCTGCACTTTTATTCTAAAAACAAACTGCAGAACATTCCAGCGGACCATCCCAGCGACCGGACCTCGTGACGCAAAACAACTGAACTGCACCCCCTGTACGCCTAATGTACATCTCAATTCAAAGTTTACAAATTTGCATATGGCAATAAGGTACTCCAAGTCGAGAGGGGGGAACAAGAGAGACCTGAGCGTCTGTCGCTCGCGCGAGTCGAAAATATTTGCCGAGAGGAAAAAAAAAAGCCAAAGGGGGGGGGGGTGAGGGGGGTGAGGGGGGAGGTGTGGGGGGAGGGGGGGGGAGTCTCGATGCCATTCACAGGACGTGGAGATGCCTCGAGAAGTTACCCGGAATGGGCAGCGGTTCTGGGGCGACTATTTCCACGATGGACACGTACGTTCCGGCGACGAAACCTGCGAAGCCAACAAAGCTGACGACGCAGTTTTTACCGATCACCAGCCAGTACTGCCAGGGCCTCATGGCTGACTTGAGCTCCGCGGTGGACTGCTCCGTGTCCTCCCCACGGCCCGCGCCGCCCTGACGTCGCCATTCCGGCCAGAAGGTGACGATCTCCAGGAGGGGCGGAATGATGAGGGCGAGCGCCGAGCTGCTGATGGATCCCACCAGGGCGATCACGAGGTCGAGCTTGGGGATGAGCATGGCGAGGGCACCTGGGTGACGCAGCGCACGGCGGGACGAGCCACATCCTCAACGCCCGCGGCCACGTGCGCGCATCGCAGGGCGCGCAATTCGCGATGCAATCGACTGACACGACACGGGTTGAACAGCAGCAGCAGCAGTAGTCTGTGGTTCACATCTTTGGCCTTTCTACATTTAAAAAAATGTTCACATGGTGTGCGTCGGGGATGTTTTCTTACTTTTAGGATTTATATATATATAAAACAATTCTAAAATAAATGTCGGATTATCTCGAAAAAAATGGTTTAGGATCGATTCGGAAGTAATGTCACGAGAAGTGGTGTAACGTGGTACCGGGTGATGTCACTTTTGTTCGCACAAAAGACATTCAATTCCTACGCAATGCAACGACCCGAAAATATGCAAAGCTCAAAAAAAGATCCAAAAGTTATCCTTCAAAATAGAAAATCCGTAACCTTTAAATACGAGTGAGTGTTAACGTGTGGTTGCCCGCTATAGGTATTGGGAAGCCCTAGTCGGCCTTCAATAAAGCGTACGGTTCCCCGGTGCTCCCCAGGCTTGCATGGAGAGTTTTACACGCGCGCCGATACCGATTTTGATGTGCGGAACGTACATGTGATGCACACGAGCACGGCTCGGCACAGCAAGTCCACGGACAGCTGCCAGCGCCGCGGGACTTTGGCCACGAAGAAGGGAGCGATGATCTCGGCCGCCACGTAGAACTGCACCCCGTAGCTCACGAAGATTCCCAGGGAGAAGAGGATCTTCACCGACTCGTACAGCCTGACGCGCACGCACGGGGACAATTTCTCCGTCCGTCACTCGAAACACATGCGGCGGGGGGTGGCTGCAGTGGTAAACGCTTGTGCCGCACGGCAAGATGGGCCTGGGTTTGAATCCCGGCTCGGGAACCTTTCCACGTGGAGTTTTTGTGTTCTCCCACTAGAGCTATGCACTTTTAAATCTATATTGAAAACTAATTTCTTAAGTACTGCATTTTGTGTTGAGTTTGTTGTCCTTCCCCCCGCACCTCCGATTAGCACGGTTGGCTATGTATGGTGCGAAATAAGTTCAACATACGCACATACACTGTTCTGCATTGGTTTTTTCCGGGTTCTCTGGCTAAACAAAACTACGTAACCGGTGTTGGCCAAAACAACCCAATGCTGAAACACTACCTGCAAATTACTCAACTGGGATTACATGCAGCAGCAGCAACAGTACTCCCCTGCTGCGAAAACTGAAAGAGAGTCTTGAGACTCTGCGAGGGCTTTCCTGGGGAAAAAGCAAACAAGATGAAAGTACCCATTGGAGATGGGCAGGTTTAGGGTCACGCTGGGCATCACTTTGGAACCAAAGCACACGTATCCCAGAGTGCCAAGCGACAAGTAGAGCAAGGTCACCACCAGCATTCCCATGCCGAGCAGCAGCTTGAACGAGCCAGGATCCCGCATCCGGTTCTCCAGCGGCAGTACCTGCAGCAGCACGACAGGGAGGCAACAATTTAACGCGTAGGTTTTCGCAGGCAATACATTCCATTCGCAATTGAAATTTTGGGTGACGCCACGTAACGATCTGGCCGGATTTATGTCGCGAGACCCTCCACCACCCGACATAGCCAAACAAATGAAAGTGTCACGCGTACAAGTGTTGAGCGTGCCAATCTTTGTTGCGTCAGCTCTTCGGCAAGTAGAGGTACGATTCTCACAACAAATTTAGCAATTAGGACACGACGCTTCGCTCGAAACTGTGCCAAGCGTATTTTGGCCGTACATCAGGAAGTCAGATAACGACGTCATCCAACCCGGCTTCTTCAATAGGGTGGTCATGACATCCCAGGAACAACCAATCAGATTTGACCTAGATGTTAACAATTACAAATCAATGTCCATTTTACAAAGACAATTATCGAGAAAACAAGCAAAGAGGACCACTTTAAGCGCTGTTGTAAGGGATCACGCCAGCAGGAGATTCATGTCACGTTTCCATCACCACTGGGGAGTATGCTGGCCTGATCGTGAGTTGGGCTCCCGTACCCACTCAGCCCGACTAGGCCGAGCCAACATCGAATGGGTTGGTAAGAGAACCCTTCTATCACCAGCCACACGCGGATTTTACCCGGGCTGTTACGGGATCAATCAGAGATTTGGATGCTCACGCCATGATATCTCCCGGATTAGTTACATTTCTCAGCCGTGTCAGTGATCAAAACACACGGCGGAAGATCACACTGAGAGAACGACCAAGGGGAAACACGGATCGGACAACAAGCATAAATTGGAGACTTCACGATGACGGTTAAGAAAAGCCAGCCAGTGGGCTCGGGGCAGGACATCGCGAGAAAGGGACGATGTCCGATGGTCAAGACCAATGATGGAATGTAAGCTAAAGGGGCACAACACGGCCCAGACAAACAGCCACCACAGAGATGGAATGGTGAGGTCAGCTCGCTCGCTCGCACACACACACACACAATGCTTGCCACGTTTCCACAGACTGTGCATCGTCCGGAGTGTCCGATGCGTAGACTTACCACACCGATGCCTTCAAAGGCAAAGATGGCCATTCCGAAGAAGAGGGGGAGAGCGTTGGCCTCTCCCACGTACTTGACATCAAGTTTTTTCGGAATGTTCTGTGGTAAAGACCAGACGCGGGATCGGCACGAGCCGTCGCGGTTAATGCAACAGCAGCAGCGTGTCCGGTATTCACACGTGTGCGCGTTCATATTACAAAGACACCAACCACGCCGTTCAACACACTGCACCGCCGAGCGCCACGAATCGGTGCCTAAAACCAGATCGGCCTTAATGTTCGCAGTCTCGTCACATCTCCGAAGCTAAGCAGGATGTTTTTTTGGCCTGCTGGTACTTGGGATGGAACACTGCCAGCGAATACCAAGAGATTCAGACTTCGGCTGCGAAGTGACCACGAGATTACAGCAATGGATTATTGAATCTATGTAAGCTTTAATGATATCGCCTCGAATGTATGGGTTTTCTCTAGCTACTCTCCTTCATCTTTCTTACCATATACCACTTTCAATGCAGCACCCTACTTAAAAAATTATCTTGCGACTCAGCGGGGCTTTTCAGAATCAGAATATTTATTTGTATTGGAGGAATCCGATGAGCTATAAAGCTCTTTTTCACAGATGTCCAGTAGGACATATGTGGTGACAAGCACATTCATAGGTGACAGGCACTTTTATTAATGCGAGATGTTAGTTTCGTCTTATACCATATGCACCACTCACCACACTTGTGTACTGAGGCTCCCTTGAGGGCACCAGCCATAACCCGAACCCTTCCTTCCCTCTTGGCACGAGTGTGCACTCAACAAGATACTATTGTGAGGGATGATTAAATAAAATAATGTTTTAAAGAACCTGTTGAAGAGTGAATTGGTACATATTTAAACACGTAGGTTTCCAAAGCCAGTATTATGATAGGAGTTGATGTTTGGGTTAGGCCGAGTGACAATCTGACTTTTATGTGTGTTGAACTTCTTTCGCACCGCACGTTGCCAACCACGCTAATCGGAGGCGCGGCTTAATTTGTGTCAGGAGCCCCTCCACCGCCCGACCACAGCGAAACAAATTAAATCGTCACGCGCACAAGCGTTTTTACCGATTCGCCAATTACGATGTTGTTTCATCTCGCGGCTAAATTGAAGGACAATTCGCGTGGCCCGATGTAGAACTCGGATACGCGACACTTCGCCTGAAACTGCGTCAAGCGCCTTCTGGCGAGCGACCAGGAAATCAGAAATAATGTATTTTTTTCTTTCTCTCTCTTTCTCCCCCCCTCCACCCCCACAGGCACGACGGCCGCATCCCTCGTCATGGAAGCGGAGGCTACCGGGCCCCTGGAGAGAGGCGCACCGTCGACATGTAGTAGTAGATAATGATGATGCTGGTCAGCATGCACACGTTGGCCAGGGCAGAGAAGGGAGCCAGCCAGCGCAGGTTCTTCACGAACGACAGCAAGATGATGAAGGGCAGCAGGCACAGCATGTACAGGCGCTTGTCCATCGCGAAGCCTCCCGGCGCGCCTTCTTCGCCCGCGGACTCGCTGGTGCCGTTGGTTCGCTGCTCCACCACCTGGCGGAGGTGGTGGGGGGCGTGATGGGGGAGGGAGGGAGGGAGAGAGGAGAGATTATTTTGTCACCTTCGTTTTTACATTTTGACAGTTAATAGCAAGCAAGCAAATAGACACCACCTATGGTATGCTGAGCTTCTTTCGCACCGTACGTAGCAAACCGTGCTAATCGGAGGTGCGGGAAGAAGAACAAACTAAATACAAAAAGCTATTCTAAAGAAATGAATTTTAAATCTCTATGTAAAAGTGCATAGCTCCAGTGGCTTCCTCATATTAGAAGGAAGAGCGTTCCAGACGGCCGCAGGAAAGCGCATCTGAAAGCGCGCGATGCAGTGACCGTCTTTGTCGACAGAAATTCAAAGTTGAACACTAGGTAAATATGGCATAATATGTATGGTACCACATACCTACAATATGCTCATCATAGACTGTTATAATGCAGGACTCATTAAACAAAGCGTTTGCATGAACCACATGATAAGCATTATGCATACCCATCAACCCATACGGTGTACCTGTATTCTTGTACAGGGAAATAGAGTTTACAGGTCCATATGGAGTACAGCCGTTTTAATACGGGCTTTGTAGGATGAACGTTGAGATTTATAAGGGCAGGGGGTGACCAATGAGGTCTGAATTGGTCTGTAATAAGGTAGGGCACTGATAAGGGGGTTGACAGGTATGATCATGTGATGGTAGTAAAGACTTTTTTTTGCATGTGAAGCAAATTGGAAGAAAAACTGATGACAGTACGTACACGTACGGAACGGGAAAGAGTTGAAATCCCCCCCCCTAAAACAAAAAAAAATCACATTAGAAAAAATGTACGAAAACACCACGGATATACAAAACAAAACACGACCAAGAGCACGGAGGCAAACAGAGCATGGGCGAGGTGGGGCAACATCCTTAACCTTTCTAAGTGCTGGTCCAGGTCCCTAATTGCCCTGCGCCACAAACAAAAAATTAGGCTGATCGCGAGTGACTACCTGCTTGATGTTGTCCGCCATGAAGACGAAATAAACACAGCAGAAGCCCAGCTGAGTGGTGATGAGAAAGAGGCTGATCACGTTCCTGCCGTCGAGACACAAACACCCAGCGTTGGGTTGGAACGAAGGCGTCAGTGCACATCACAGCAGAACGGGAACAGTACCAGGGGCAGGGAGCGACAGGATTGAGTAAAGAAACCTGTCACGTCCTGAGCGGCTAACATCGAGAGCAATGGTCGACATTAATTCGCACGGGAGATTGTACGCAGCCTAGAGTAGGCCGAATACTTAACTTTAAATCCATTAGCAATGAGCCAACGGGTTTAACGCCATTTAATTTTAGCGCGTTTTACAAACTTTCTGCAGTATCACAAAACACTTTTGTCACATAACAGGCAGAGATTAGGCGCTTAAGAATAATAACATATTGTTCTATATTCATCAAGTTGACTTGTTGCCGACTAACGTACACCAAATAACATGTTTTCAAAGTGCACAGTCTGTTGATTAACACTGTAGAATGCAGAACTAATGCTCAAGGCTTTGGAAAGCTACAAGTCAAGAGTTATATATTCTTTGAACCAAAAATACGAAAAAGAATTACTAAAATCATCTTACTTTCCCCAAGATCCTTTAGAATTTAGCCAGGTGAAGTTGGAGACCTCCATAGCATGCATGACAGTGCCTCCATAACACAGGGTTGGACGCTTCAGCCTAGAGCACACACACACAAACACAATGACGATGCAGACGCGCCGGCCAATTACCAATCACGACACACACACACTACACCACATTTTTTCAAGGCAATATGGCTAAGGCAGTGCCGGATTATTTTAGTAGCAAAAGTAGCATATGCTACGGGCCCCGCACTTTCAAGGGCCCCGCGCTAAATGCTTTCAAGCTATCAATTCCGTTTCAGTGATTCTGCACTATTACTATAGTACTATACTGCCTTCAACTTTTATGAACGATTGGGTGTTTAAGCTAAGCGATTTGTCGTATTATCTGGCTGTATAGCAAATGAAAAAATACGATTACTTTACTATGCAAGTTAAAAATGTGTGTTTTAATATTTGCGTTTATTTATTTAGGGCCCCTTTATAACATATGCTACAGGCCCCGCACTAGCTTAATCCGGCACTGGGCTAAGGTTTGGAGGGTGGGGTTGCTGCACAGATGAAGAGGGTACGGGGACTCCCCATACAAAGGTAACAATTCAAGTAAACGTCACACTGGTAACTTCACATGTTGGTGACGTCACATGACTGTAGTTTACATTGTCATGTAGAACTCATCGTGTGTTAAAAGGACCGCAAGTGAGCTGCATTCCCCTACCCCCCACCCCCCCCGCAGATCCTTTAACGGTGCAATGCGGAACGAGGACCCGATTTCGAAAGACGCTGTAGAGGCTGCAATGTGAACTGCGATTGATTTCCTCTTTAGCAATCATAAAAAAAAAATCACATGGGATCGGCTGATAGTTGCTTAGTTTGCGGCTCTCCTGGCCACCGTGCGCAGCAGGATTCGTGGCGAGGGGATAATGAACGAGAGCCATTCTCTGTGCCTCTCAGGGTCGAAACGACCACTTTGACGCTTAACGCATTGCAGGGATTGGCAGATGCCCACGAGGGGGTGGGATTGTTTCATGATGCTCGGCTTACTTTCTGCACAGGTAGTGGCTGCACCTCACGAGGGTCAGCATGCAGTCGACAGCAACAATCGCCATCACCACGAGACACACGGGTCCCACCTATAGATAAGGATACACAAAGACAAAGATCCCCTGTATAGCATTAACAAACTGTTGGGGAAAGTGTTGTTAGCGAGCACCTATGAAGGCCGGAACGGCACACGAGGGGGTGGGTGCCTAGCAGAACGCCCGACCGCCTTTGTCCCCCTAGTGACGACGTTTACACATCGCACCAAGTACTCATTTGAGGCTGAGTCGATCTAAGGGAAGCCCAGGACCGGTTCAGATAATGGTCACCGGTGTGGACTATGCGCGGGAATCGTTCTCGGGTTGCTAGATTCGTAGTGCAACGCGCTAACCGCTACACTACCGCTCCCAATGCATACGCACATACCAAACCCGCCATTCGCCACTAAGTGACAGGCCAGGTGCACTTTGAGGCCACGTGAAGTGTCGAAGGCTTGCTGACACACATACATACACACACACGTGCGTGCGCACGATGTGAATCCTTACCACAAGCCCAGCGTGTTTCACGGCGAGCGGGAGGCCCAGCAGGCCAGTTCCCACATTCCCCTTGAGGAAGTGCAGCAGCGTCTGAGCAAACCTGGCCAGCGGACACACAGAGTAGCGGGGTCACTCGAGACATCTGCCTGTCACGTGGAAAAATGTTTTATGATACTGCATGGGAGTTTGTAAGCGGGCGAAAATTAAACGTTAAATCTGTTGGCTCATGCCGATGGATTGAAAGTTTAGAATTCGGCCTCCTCTAGGCTGGATAAAATTTACCGTGCATATCAACCATTACTGTCGAGCAGTGCTGTCGGTGTTAGCCGCCGAGAGCGTGATGGGTTTCTTTATTCAATGCTGCAGCTCTATTCACCGGGACCGTTCCCGTTCTGCTGTAATGTGCACCGATGGCTACTTTATTGAGGGAGATATTAGCATGTAAAATAAATATTGATTGACTGATCTGCACTCTGCAGCAGCAAATCGAGCGTTCGCTCCGACAGGTGGAGCAGTTCGCTCGAGATGACACTCAGAAGGCCAAACAGGCAGGCTCACAAACCCAGTCCTCGTTCGACACAGTAGATGCATTCCTTAAAAGTGCCGCAATTAAGCGAAAAACGCGTGAAGCGGAAACGTTTTCCCCAATAAATAATGTAACGATAAAGTTTGGCGAAATACGATGTACTACTACGCATGCGGACAAAGAACTGAGGGTACGCCCGCCGCGTTACTGTACCATTCTGCGTACTGTATCATACAGCTCAGCCGCGCAGCTCACGAAAGTAGTTCGTTGTCGGCTGCTCAGATACCACGTTATAACGGTGCTCATTCCACGTTGCGCGAAAAGTGTTCCCAAATGGAAGAACCGCGTTACAGTTGCGAGGAACGCGCGCCAAGCGAAGACTTACCGTGCAGCCAAACTGCGGCCCAGTGAGTTTGCGAGTCTCACAAATCTACGTGAAGCACCCAGTGCCGGACCGCGGGCGTGCGCCACCACAACCCCCGTTCACCGCGCAACGAGCGAGTCGACTGTGTCGTGTTGGGGTGCGCGTGGCGACGTACGTGGTGGTGTGCTCTCCACGATTGCCGAGCCCCGAGCCCTCACCGACTCCATCATCGGAGTCCATTCCGGGCGAGTCCGAGTCCAGGCCGGGAAGATCCCCCTCCGAAACGTTTGTGGCTCCGTACACATCCTGGAGCAGGGGACTCAAGGCTTCACGTTCTGATGCGACACAACCCAACAGACCACGGCCACCCTTGGTGGCTGCTTACGACAACAACCTCCCTCCATGCCAGGCTCATGAAGCGCGACGCAGCAAAGCCTGGTGGTCCACGTGGACCACCAGGCAATTGGTGCCCGTGGAGTTGGCCCGTCGCCCGTTTCAACCGGCGAACCTCCTCGGCAATGACGACGCATTGAGGCGAATTGCGGACGCGAGCAACGTGTGCCCAAAACAATAAGCACAGTTAGGCACTTGCACCACTATATTTTTTTAATGACATTTTTTATTTAGAAAAAAATATTTTAAAAAAAATTGTAATTTCTTTACAGCCCAGCCATCTCTCGCCAACTGCAGACTTGCCAACCGCGGAATTCATGTACACACCATTTACTTTCGGCGTAGTTGATTGCTAAACAGTGGCCTAAGTTATGACAGTGGCCATACAAGGGCTCACATAAGCCAAAGCAAATGCTGAAGTTACTTTATTTTCGATTGGTACTTTATACATTTATTTACCGTATTCTCTGGATGATAACATTTTTCCTGTATTTTAAAGCAAAGGTTGGGGGGTTTGTCTTATAATCTGGTAACTGTGTGTGTGAGCAGATTTATATAACGTTATTGACACTGGGGACATGTTTCTGGTGCATCTTACTTTCCAGAAAGTCTTATAACACAGAGCATACGGTAATATGAACGGGTGAACATTCATCATCCTCAAAGTATATTCTTAGCTCTTTCGGTAAAGTCACGTTGAAGGGAAACAATAAAATATGAATTACTGCAGTCACGAAAGCTTTAAATCAAAATTCATCCTCAAAGTGTTATGGGGTCAAACCCTGGCCAGCTGAATTTGCACACTTGTTTGTGTTCGTAAAAAAATGTATTAAAGTCTTCACGTTTGACTTGCAAACTAGATGGCGTTTTGCATGCAAGGGTATTCATCTTAAAATGTGTTTTCTCTCCTTGTGAATAATTATCACCGCGCTCTGTAGCACTCGAGAGCATGTCAAAATGCGATGTCATTCTGGGAAACTGGTAGATATGATTATTATTCGCGATCTTTGGCGATCAATCACATTTGGGCTTAAGGACTGACCGCCACACGCAACTGATTCGCCTATGCCGTTAATATCTCGCGATATTTTGGAGCCACGCAGAGCAGTGGGGGGGGGGGGGGGGTTGGGCATTCCAGCATGGGTTCTGCAGCGTCCAGGCACGCAGCGTTTGCTCCACAGGGTGGTGGATCAGTGTGCAATCCGCATTTTAGTCGAAGGCAAAAAGCACGCAAAGCGTTTAAGCAAAAAAAAACAGCTTAAGTGGGTTCACACTCAAATGCGCTCATGTTGGTGCTCATCTCAAGCGCCAGTTGATGAAATTCCACACTGCTATGGCAGGGTCCACAGAACAACCATCGTTCACTCTCCCAAGTGGTGCTCATTTTATTGACCACGCAGAAGTGAAGGCCAAACCCGAAGCCGGACATTTGAACGGGCGGTTTTTTCGACCGCACAACATTTTCCCGAACCCACTGGTGCCACCCGACTCGATTGCCGTCATTCTGGAGCACAAAAACTCGGAAACTGAGCAATAACCGGACACGTAACGATTCATCGATTGAAAATAATTATTTCAGGCTCCCAAGACAGACATCAAACCACACGTGCAAGGCTCCATTATTTAATATCTGTGCACACTGGGGTACGTGTCGCATGGAAATGTTACATTTTCAAAAGAACGAGACAGAATAAACTAGACGTACGTAAAAAAAACGTGTACAAATGAGCCCGAAAAAAACAATAATACGTAAATCATGACCTTGAATCTTGCTAATTAATCAAACTGCATTGGTGGGTCAGATGTCTGGTGAGAACCGTGCCGAGGACTGCCACCACCGTGAGAGTTGACAAGCGTGGACATTGAGAGGCGATTGTTGAGAGGTGTGGAAACGGTGAGACCCATGGGGGAGACCTTGTGTGGAGCCAAATTCTTACAGGGAGAGGAGCATCGGAGAGGTTCAATTACCACACTTGTCGCGATTATGTAAGAGATTGCAGAAACTCTGCTTATGTTATACGGCGTCACTTTGCGTTAACGTTATGCAACCCCATGCTAATGAATAACTTACGAAAAAATACACATTCACATTTTATTACTTCATCGGTGGCAGATTATGTTCAGCTATGGCGAGATAAAAATGACCAAGGTATTGACATGAAACGAGCTCATATCGACTGTCATGTATCGATTTAGCACGCCCAGTAAGCCTGTCAGCTTTTAAAAAACACTCGCACAATTCTATATATACACCTCAATGCCTACAGTTGCAATCCATGTATCTAACAGCAGGCAGATAGATGATAGATTTGATTTATTTATGTTAGCCTCTATTTCATCAGCGTCCTGCGACGGTACAGATGCTACATCGTACAGATATTATGGGGCTACGGTGGCGAGATGTTAACTACTTCCCTTGGTATACAGGAGGTCGTAGGTTCGATCCCAACCCTGGCACATACATAAGGAGTATGCATTGATGTCAACCCATCTGGTTCACCCGTATTGTTGTGTCTATTTGTTTGTGTTTCTCCCTTGTGATGGAACTTTGTAGGATGAACATTACGATTTATAAGGGCATGGGGTGACGAATAAAGTCTGAATTGGTCTGTAATAAGGTAGGTACTGTTAAGGGGTCGACAGGTTTGAGTTTGCATGTCTTTCTCTCTCCCCGTGGTCACGTGGATTTTTCTCCGCGTGCCCCGGTGTTTCCCTTTCACATTCAGAAACAAGCGTTTAGAATATTCTTTGGTTCTTTTGGTAAAGTCACGTAGAATGAGAATAAAATAATAAATTGATAAATTTAGCATTGCTAAATTCTATGCTAATTCCTTTGTCAAGGCGCTTTGTTTCTTCTCACACAGCTTAAAGGTCACGATCTGAGCGTGGCTTTTTCGCTCCAGCGCTGTCCCTCCAGACAGTCTAGTCCCTTCACCTGATGAAGGCTGCTTGTGTTGTGGCCGAAACGTCGTGAGAATTTTATTGTGTTATTTTATTTTATCAATTTATTATTTTATTCTCATTCTACGTGACTTTACCGAAAGAACCAAAGAAGATGAATCCTTGCAGTCACGAAAGCTTTAAATCGAAATTTATGCGTTTAGAATATTTGTTCGCTATGCATTTCCATATGATGAGCCACTTCGTTGAGTTATCATTTGTGGCCAGGTGGCTTCTGAAAAAGAGCTATACAGCTCAGTGGGCCTTACCTGGTGAAATAAAAAAAAAGTTTAGTTTTAGTTGAGTTTTCATTGACTGATGATGGGTAAGAGAGGTCAATAACATTGAGTCCCGCAGATATATATATATTTGCTGACATCCCAGGGTTTGTGAAGTAAAAAAATCCACGCGACCACGAGGAAAACATGCTAACTCTAAATGATACAGGCGTCAGGGTCGAGATCGTACCCACAACCTCCTCCATACTAGGCGAGGGAGAGGTAACATCGCGTCATCACGGCAACCCAGTCAGCCCTCCGTCACGGCCTATAAACACCGTTTATTGCATTTCGGTCAACTCAAATGTTTTTACAAAGTCCAATTTTCAGGACTTGGAAAATTAAATGCCACGGTAAACGAAAATACAAAGCAATGCACTCACTGGGACTGAAACACATATCTCGCTGTACTTGGGAATCCAGTTTAACTATGAGCAACTGCCTGGATTCAGGTAGCTATCTTCACCAAGCCGCATTGGCCAACACGGTAAAGTGTGGTCAAGATCACCCTCGAGACTTAAAGAAAGGGAACAATCCAGGCGGCACCAGGGCCCCACTGTCAAGGCAGGCCATTAAAACAATCCTGTGAGTTACAGCCGAGGCTGAAGAGCTCACGAGAACGGGCGAGTGGGTTACACCGGCACATTGCACCTACACAAGATAACCCATCTCAAGACCGTTGCACATACACCACGTTTCCCCCGAACTCTGGTTCCAACAAGAAGCGAAGCCAGCTAGAAAGGTAAAGGAACCGGGGCTGCTGGTAATCACGAGTTACGGATAAGACGCCTTCTTGTATTCGACCATTGCTACACACGACATGTGGACTCTGAACTAAACAAATCAAACTTTGTATAATTTGAGACAGAACTTCGGGAATTAACTGGGACATAGCTTGACTTGGGAAAGAAATTTATATATTTAAAGAGCAAAACCTTTCTTGACATAGAGAACGTATTGAGAGTAATTATGGAAAATGGAGATCCATAGTTTCTCGACGAATCCAACATAGATTTAGGATTCCAAACTACTTCCAACCGAGTTGTCCAGGTAACATTAAGGTTCTATAGTCACTACAAGTAAAGATAAATACAAATAATTTAAATAATAACAATGCATTCACGGTTATTATTGGAAAAATTATTATTGTTTACCGAAATCTAATTTCTAAAGCACGATTCACTCTGCGATCACCGAAGGGCATTTACGCTCCAATCGCAAATCCGAGATTAAGAGCAAAACCATCAACTCACGGGGCTTTTTCCGAGGATGAAAACTTTAGAGGTCCGTTTTGTCGGCATCGTTTCACACGATTGTAGAGGAACGGCACAAAAAAAATGTAAGATGATGAACTTGACGGATATGCACTCGGAGATCATTTGTCCTCGGCAGCTATCTGACTGTATTCATATAAAGCATATATATCTAATCAGCCTATATAATCCTGAAATAAACGGAAAGAACACGCGGTGAAATACGGTGATTAAAATTACATTAACTCAGCAATTATTCTGAAAAACAGCAGATAAGGCTTTTTTTATCAACTGCAAAACAGTGTTTCCCTGCGTGGACCTGCACCTGTGACGATGTGCAAAGTCTCTCACAGACGCCAGGTGCTTTTGCCAACATCCAGAGCAGTGTGCAGCAGTATCGAATGAAAGCAAATAGCTGCCGAATGACACCTTCACGTTTTGGGCCAGGGCTTCGCGGGTCGCTTTCCCCGT